TGGACCGGTAAACCATAATTCAGAGCCACGTCCAGCACCTTGCAGCATCGTTTTAAGCCATCTCAGGCTCCTCCTCTTTGATTGAAACGCCGTTCCCACACATGACGCTATCCACCATTGCGTCAGACACACGGCTGCCGAGTAGTCATCGCACCTCTTAATGCAAATGCTCCTCCGGTCAGTTTCACTGAAGAGAGGGGAAGTGGGGTCCTTCACGAAACAAGTTGGCGGTTGGGTTGCTGCTGCCGTCTTTCCCGGGAATGGCAGCAAAAAATTGATGAGTGATATGTGGGGTTTAACGTCCCAAAACCACCATATAATTATGAGAGACGCCGTGGTGGAGGACTATAGAAATTTCGACCACCTGGGGTTCTTTAACGTGCACCAAAATCGGCACATGGGCCTACAACATTTCCGCCGCCATCGGAAATGCAGTCGCCGCAGCCGGGATTTGATCCCGCGACTTGCGGGTCGGCAGCAAAAGGATTAGCGACCTTTAATCGCTTACACGCGAGCCGCGCAGTGGGTCTGCCTTGCCGTCTCGCCAAACAAGCCATGTAGGGATATTAGCTCACGGACGGTCGAAATCGCCACATTCTGATCCCTTTGTTGCTTCCCGCCGTTTAACACTCATCCCGAGAGAAGAGCGCTGGGGCTTCCTGACGTTCGAACGCAACCCGGCCATGCTTCTCATGGCCAGCATGGCACCCACGGACGAGTCACAACAATGCCAAATTCTGCTATAGTGTCATAATTCGTCATAAGCTTATCAGAGAGGCTGCAGCAGCTCTCTGGGACAATCATTTGACCAATGGCCAAATTCGACATGTCCGAATTTCACCACGTCAGAATAACTCCATTGGTACACAGTAAAAGCTTAATTCGAATTTCATGAGACTGGAACAACAACAACAAAAAACAAATTAAACGGAAGCTTAATTATCGAAAGCAACAAGAAATCACTGAATAAGTGCCCATTACAACAATGCATTTTCATATGCTTGATCTCAATAGGCGTGCATAGGGTTCCCCTTCAGGGGAGGAAATGACGAAGATTACTCGCAGCGTCCCCCTTCCTATTAACTCAATGTATGGTGAAAACTTTGCCCCCCCCCCCCCATGCGCACTCCAATGTTCATGAATACGGAAGTACAGTCCTTATTTGGCATAAGAGCAATTTTTTGTCATTCGCGACTTCGTTCACAATGTGACCGCCGCTCAAGACTCCTGTGTGTTAGGCTGCATGTACTCTGAACCGATCCCTCATTGCACACCGCCACCAACACGTTTACATGATAATTTTTTGCCAGAAAAGTGACCGGAAACTGATTGGTCGTATCATCACAATGTAGAAAGCGTATCACTACATAGTTCACGTGCGCCAAATCAAATCGAAAACGAAACAAGTTAGGCACGGACGCTGAAGCCTTGGTCTTCAACGCGATCGTGGTCCGACTGTTATTGAAGACTGCGCCTTTCCAACAGCCCGCAACAAAGGCTCGTGAAAGCGATTTATGTTCATTTTGGTACATTTGTGACCCTTTATGTTTGATGCGCTCCGAGCATCGTCCTAATCAACCGGTTTTCAATAGAATGAGCAAGAGTTTGATGCCATTAAACAATACAAATGCCTGTCGGCACCAGAGTACACATCCCACATTGGTAATTAACAGGGTTAAAATTAACAAGCTTGCACTGTATTGAGGGGGAATGAGCGATGCAAGACTTCAGGGGGAGTTGGCTTTGGTCTCCATGGTTTTGGCCCATAGGCGGCAGGCATGTTTCGCGTAGTAGCATTTCCTTCCTTCAACGAGCTGCACTGCTCCTCTTGCAGAGCTGGGCAGGTCTCTCCCAGTGCAGTTGCCAGTTGCACAATAGCGCATGGAATCCAGAAAATAATGAGGATGATATTAAGACAAGGTTGCGGCACCTTAGACTTCCTCTATAGCCTTCACTTAAGTATAGGAGTTATGCAACTGCTAGCACCATACGTTGACAAGGTTGCGGTACCTTAGATTTGCTCTATAGCCTTCACTTAATATCAGAGTTATGCGTCAGCTAGCAACCATACGTTGCTCTGAAGGTGCTGCTTGGGCCAACTTTTCATATTTCTCGACATGCTGCTGCAGTGAACTGGATCGATACTACTCATCGATGGTCACCCTAATCACCCGTCTTCAACACGCCAAACATGTCGATTAGTCACATGGTCAGCATATAGCCAGCAAAAACGAAATGCCGCTTCATCGCATAACTGCGACTGATAGTGCAAATGAGAAGTCGATAAGTCTAATCTACATCATGACTGTTAGGTCATGGCGTATAATCAAATGGTCTAGTCACCATACAAGCCCTGCTGGACCCTCTGCTGAAAAGTGGGGTACTCTAAAAGACAAAATGCTATGGTGATAGAGCAAAGGATGAAGCATCTCTTACTAAATGAAGAGCTTAACAAAATTATTAAATTTAAAGGCTGCATGGTTACTGCAGACTTCCAAGCTTTGTTATTTACCCTACTTGTTCGAAAACTAATTGAATGAGCTGGAAATGTTAGCACAAGAAAATGTCCAACATGCTGCTCATGATAATCATATAGGTCAACATTTTAGGAACATTAAATAAAATTGACATCTTCCCAAGGGGAACTGTGATAGGATGTGAAGAAGCGGCGTTGCACACGGCGATTCGGCGAAGGGCGTGCAGCACTTTCAAGACGGTGCCGACGATGACGACATTAAGGATTCGCCGGCGTTAACCTTCCACTGTCAGTGCTTCCGCTCGGCTTCTTTGGCTCGTGTCTTGTCAGTGTTGCAGGCGTGACATCGCCATTCGCGAACGCGACTGGATCCAGCTAACCCTCGCAATGCCGGCCGCAGCCGGGTGAGGCTAAATCGCTTCGGCGGGCAAAGGAGCTTCGCTTTCGGTGTCCTCTCCATCGCGGTGTCCTCTCCACGAGCCAAAAGAGTGTCCACTTGATGTGCGCTCGAACGCTGCGAGCAGTGGAGAGGGTGAAACGAGAGAGAGGTGACACACGGTGAGCGTGCGGCAGGCGAAAGTGACGTCACCACACACTGCGAGGGAAGGCGTGACCTACTTTGCACCACCTCAACATCTACAGTGAGGGGAGCGCGGTGCGTCGCGTTTGCACAGACACACGAATAGACAGTGTCACACAGGCTAGCCAAAGAGCTGCTTCGCATATAATGATTTAGCGAAAAAAAAAAAAAAACAATTTCTTGAGGAAAACATTGTCTTACTTTAAAAATGCCAAGGTCTGCCAGGTCCTGTTGCGAGTAACATAAAACCCAATGCAACTCTGCTTGCAGCTGCAAAAGTTATGCGGCAGATGTCGCAAACAAGCGCTCAACAAAACGCGCGCTCCGAATTCCAGCTGCTACGTGAAATCGAGACGCCAGGCAGACGCGACAGAAGCCAGCGTAAAGGAGAAAACAAGCATCAAAGGTCTCCTCGGGAGCCTCTCCCCCATGAAAACGTGGCTATGCCGGCTAACCTCTTCGCATCTGTCGCCAAGCGATCTCTGTCTGGCAAAATCTCGAAGGAAAGGGGCGTGGTGATGCAGAGTTGGGACACGTTACGAGAGAGGTCCCGCCCTTTCCACAGCCTGGACTGTGCGCCGTGTCGACGAAACGACTAGAAACTTCTAGAACACAGGGCAAGTGCACATAAGCCAGCAGCGGAGGGTGCCACAGCAGGAGATGAGAGTTTTACCTCCGTCAGACGAAAGCTGGTGTCTTCAGTGACAAAGCAGAAAATGAAGAGGTTTTCCACCTGTGGGTGAAGGCTTGTGTTACAAGCAGGAGAAAAGTGTGTGTGCCGCCCGTGGGCGAAGACGTGTTCTGCAGTAAAAGCGCGCGAATGGCAGACGTGTTACCGGCGAAGAAGTTTTGTTATTGATGTGCGGACATTGGACAACGCGAGAGTTTCCGGGAAAAGAAACCTCCGCGAGGCAACAACCAGCCAGCGTTGGACTTTGAGTGAGTGTTTCCTTGAAAAGAAGCATTCTAGCTTTGTTCCAAGAACTTTAGACTGAATTTGTTTGACGAACATTTTAATATATGTGTCTTGGTTGGTTAATGCACGAGATCGCACTGTAGCGAGTGTTCTTGTTTGTGTCCATTGTTCTGAGTTTTTCTTGTGTTGTATAGCCCGCTGTTTTGAGTACCTTGTGATTGGCGACGCACTGTATTGAATTAATGCTGAGTGTGCTTATTTGTGTGTTGTTTGTTCTGCCATATTTGAGAATATACTTTTGTTATCAACTCTCGGCTTTGTCTCGTTCTTTGGACCACAGCCCGCAATCGCTGGTGCACCAAGAAGGACCAATTCTAAATTGTCTGTGCTTTTGTGGTGCGATTTGGAGGGACGATACACGTCCACCCTGGAATCGACCCGGCGATTGCCTTTCTAATTAATGGGACCAGTGAGAGCAGCTTATCTGCATCGTCTAACAAGTGCTTACCCAAAGACGTATGTCGTTGAAAAATACGTGTCCGGGACACCACTGCAGTTTTGAATAAAGAAAACATTGAGACAAAGTGCAATATAAACGTTCATGCTCATGCATGTTGATACCATGCGGTAGCTTGTCTGCACTGTCCGTCCGCTTACATTAGGAAGCACAGATCACCCGCTACCTGCACGACCAGAGAGCTAGGCAACAGCATCAAAGTTCTGTTAAGAAATTTGCTAGGTAGGCTAGCAAGTTCATTGCGACTCATGCAACAGTGCGAAAAAAGTGCAAACAACAATGATCAAGGGTAAAGAGTGCTGCGCTCCCTACACAAACATTCCTTACACTCTGTCATCGTCCTTTTTACTTCTCAAGCTGTTGGACGAGTGTAACGAAACCGTCACAAAGCAAGTAAAAATGTCAATTTCATCTCATCACCGACTGAGAGGGGTGCACAATAGTCTTTACAAAGGTAGTAATTCAGGTAGTAACGTACCTACAGCAACTGAAGAAACACACGACACAGCAGTCCTGTTGATTACCGTTTATTTTGTCACTTGCAGATGAAAGGTTGGAAATTGGGAAAAAAGCTAGCCTACATGCTTTATAGTTAAGAGAGAAATTCCCATCTACACGATCGGTTATTATTCATTCCCTCCTTGCCAGCCTGAAGTCCCATCTTATTTGTCTTCACACAGCAGCAACAATAAATAAGCTGCAAAAGCAATCTTGAGTAGTCACGATTGTGCTCTACACTACACTACAAAATAAATAGAATGGTGCCAGAATAGTGAAAGAAAAAAAACAACAGGCTCAGTGTGCACTAAAAAAATTGTAGCATCTCACCTTCAACCAGTGCATAGAAAGGAAAAAAAAACCTAAAATCTTGTTTTTCAAAAATTACGGAAGTTAAAATCTTGCTCCAAAATGCTCGTCGGAACAACAGAAAGCACAAATGCGATTACTGTTTCACCACAACTGCCAAGCAAAAGAATAGTAATAAAAAAAGGTTCCAGTCATAAACGGACCTCATATCAAGAATATGGTGTGGCTGTCCTCCCTCCCAATCTCCAGACTTTCAGATCGTTGGATGCCCGATTCTTTTGTCAGTTCCTCGGAATGTGAGAGAAAATGCTTTCTGCAGCTAGAGTTGCTGGCTGTTCCCCCATCTTCGTTCACAATTTTGGCTCTTTGCTTAGTATGAAAAAACAGGCCACGCTCTTCATCCCTCCTTTTGTAGCGTCCGTTCAAGAAGAAGAAAGAAAAAAAGACCTTCAGGCAACAATTTTTGTATAGAGAAGGTAGAAGCTTAAAAAAGGTTTCTCCCCCTTACGTGTAAAACTAACTAGTTTTACTCTCGACAGCAGAGAAAAAGAACACAGCCTAACAAAGCTGCTCTTTGCTGATTTGAGACTGAACTACGCAGATGCTAACATGCTGAACAGATTGAATACGGCTAGTGCAGCTCAACAATAGCGAAAAACCTGTGGACACTGCATTGTGCCACTTTGGCCCAAAAGACTGCAAAGCTGAAGCTAGAAGTAAAAATACACACAAAATAAGAAGGAAAAAATGGCTATTAATTGACAGTCCATAAACTTCATGGACGCTCTGCCTAAACCCAGTCAAGCCATTCTAGTTGTCTGCAATTCGCGCCATCGCAATAAAAGCGAAATATGATTGAAGGGTTATGAAATGAGGTGACTAAACAAAAAATAAGAAACAATAGTTTCATACATTGCCAACAAAACAACTGGAACAAAGTGTACCTGGCATATTGAGACATTCTGGTCTTGGACTCGTTCACAAGAGCCCCAGGGAGTCAAAGATGCGATTCTGGAGGTAGGCAACAACCTGGTCATCATGCTTGGCAGTATGGTGTATTAGCTACAGCCATTGGACGTTGCAGTCATCAAGCCATCATAATTACCTCAATTACCATATCACCATGCTTTCAAAAAAGTGGCTCATAAGGAAAGATGGCACCGAGATGCCTACGAGAACAGAGAAGGAAGATCTGACCAGAATGGTTTTAAAAATGTTACACAGCAAATCTGCTAGCGGCTCTGAGGGCATTTCTCATTCAAGGTGCTAAGTACACCTGCAAAACACATGAGACGCTCCCTCTGGAAGGTGCAATGAAGAGATGCACCTTCCTTCTATATTTTAGTTACTCCTCAGTAAATGTGGCACGTTACAAATGGGCACTTGCCCCAGCAATGCTCATGCAATCGCTGTCGCAGTTTAAAAAATCACAGATCAGGGAACTTAGTCGACAGTTACAGTGTCTCCCTGCTCTCAAGAGCCAGAGGTCAGAGACATCAAGGAATAAAAATTGGCCAAGGACCCTGTTTAACAGCAGCAGAATGCAGTTGTTTGAGTGGAAAAAAAAAACTACTTTAACTGCACTAAAGCCCACGTTAATCACAGACCACTTTCATAAGATAATGCTTTTACCTGAAGTCCTCTGAACTCTCTGCTAAGTTTGAGCAGTCCAAATGTAAAACTAAGAGGAAGAAAAAAAAAGGAAGCATCTGCCACCGAGACAGATATGCGAGAATGCAACTGGCTAGAAGAGGCCAATAAAGAATAAAAAAAAAAGAATGGGAAGACTTTATGGGCCAGCCTGCCGTAACTTGCTCCGTTGCCCAGTGGACACGACAGCAACGTAAACCTCTGCACAAGCTTGGCCTTGCATAGGCCCCGTCCCACACTCTGCGTGGGACCGGATGAACGCAACACTGCCCCAAGGTCGGATTAAGGACGCGGGTGAACGAAGAGGAGGGAACAGCCAAAGGCCGAAGTGCAGCTCATCTGACTAGAGACGGGTTTTTTTCTTTGAACAAGGTACCTTGAACATCAAAATGCTAGGGTTTCCTGCCGTGTGTGTGTGGCAGAACTCCTCTGTTCAATCCAGGTTGACCAGCATGCTGCTGAGCCAGGTACCCTGCCTGCCTCACTTCTTGGTCATGATTTTCAGGTACTGCAGTGCACAGCGCGCCGCAGCCACCTGGGCCTGCTCGGGCGTATCGGCTGTGCCGAAACACACCGCCAGTGGCAGCGATGTCAACTGCACCAAGCACTGGTGCTTACCTGCATTGAGAGGTAAACAAAGGTATAGAGAGGAAGATCAGCGGTAACATTGCTTGTTTTTTCAATGTACTAAGACAAGATGCCAAGAAATTGGAGGAATGCCATTGAGCAAGCTGATAAAGGGTGGAGGAAAGACTAACATTATAGCTACAGAAGATAAGTGACTTAACATTATTCTACAAGCGCCTGTTCCCTAAATATAGGTGCTCCATTTCTCTAGGAAGTCATTTTCGGGAAGATAATTAATTTTGCGGGACTAGGGCAAGATGCATTAGCGCCTGCGAGCAACAGTGTTTTCAACACACATTCAAATAAGTAGACCCATAACACTGTTACAAGCACTGTCCCCTATTGATATGGCCAGTAATAATACGGGAACATTAACCCAGTTATACAAGGATTTAAACATATATGACATGACATTGCAAACCAGGTTTGACCATACAGAGTGACCACTTCCTGAATGCTCACCCACCCCTTTCGATCTCAGTGCATGCCTCAAATCATACAGAGCGACAAAAAACTGAACTAATCTGAAGAACACAAGAAAAGCACAGTGCATACCGTCAGGGCTGAGCTCATCTATCGGCACATAAGTGACCTCGAAGCTCTGCTCGTCCGCAATTTCACGCAGCAGGCCAACGTAGTCAATGCCCGCTGTGCTAAGAGAGGTACCCTGCAGGCTGGTCAGCCGAGCTCCGTCCGAGGCCTGCAACTGCCGCAGCAGCTGCCCGACCTGCTGGCTGTGCCGTGGAGTCAGGGCACTGATGTTCTGCTCCTTTAGCCCCATGTAACACTTGGCCTCCTGGAGTACCGTGCTGCAGGGGCCCAAGCCACCAGGGACAGAGTTGAGGCCCGATTCTCCAAACTTCTCCTGTGCACAAATGAAAGCAGTGTATGCTAAATCCATGCGCTTGCTTTTGTGGCCAACATGGGCAGGGTAAAGGAAGTTCCATCTTATCGGTTGAATGATCCTGCCAAATGAATGAATGAAAATCTCACCACAGCTAATTTGGTTTAGTATACAGCCGAACACTGATATATCGAACCCACATATATCAAATTTTTTGGTATATTGAACTTGTAAGTTATCCCCTTGAAATTCCTTTGTAAAAGTACAGAAATTTACGTGTTTATATCGAACGGTATTTTCACCCACCTTCAGATATAGCTGGAAGGTGCGCTTCGGCACTCGCCGAACTCTGCGATATCCGCGGCAGCGCGCGAGTTGGAAGGTGCACTTTGCACTTGCACGCCCGGCGACCTCAGCGCGGCATCACGCCTTTGCCAAAACCCGAAACGCTCGAAAAAAGGCAAGAGCGAGAGGGCTCGAACTATGGTCCATAGAATATTCTAGGGACCATACTCAGACTGCACAGTCTCTAACTTGCGGAACAGCTTTTTTTTCACCGTTTCTCTTTCTCTCTTTCTCCGCATACCCGTCGGCATGATCGAAGGAGCCGATGTCCTCCTCCTTTCACCTTTTCTTTTACTTTCTTTGATGCTGTTTTGCAAGTTTCGATCAGCCAACTACAGCTCGCGACTTTTACTGTTGCCCTCGCAGGCGGCCATCGCCTTGTGAGCCTTGTGTTGCTTCCGTTTGCGCGTTCCCTAAGTGTATGTGCAGCATTTCTCTTTTGCGTGCGTGGTGTGCAAAGTTGCTGCGAAATGCTTAAATTGTCGACTTTTTGTGTAGGTATGGCCAGCATCAAGAAGCACAAGACCCTTGACTTTGCGACGAAGTTGAAGGCAGTCCAGCGTGTTGAGGCGGGCGAGATATTTTTGACCGTCATGGACGACTTCGGGATACCACAGAGCACTCTGAGTACCTTGTTGAAGAACAAAGCAGATATCAAGGCAAAGGCGGCGGAGCAGTGAACTTTGAGAGCTTGTCATGTGCGCACTCCTGCCCACGAGAATGTAGAAAAGGCACTGTATGCCTGGTTTTTTAGAAGTGCACGTGAAGAAAATTCGGGTGGATGGCCCGATGGTGACCGCCAAGGCCAAATGGTTTGCCGCTGCACTCGGTGAAACAACTTCGGCGACAACAACAGGTGGCTTTACCGATTTAAGCAGTGCTACAACATTGTTGCCAAAACCATTTTAGGCGAAAGCGAAGCTATCAGCAGCCAGGACATTCAGCAGTGGATGACGAAGGAGTGGCCGGATTTTCGCCGTTTTCTCCCGCAAAGATCTTCCCGTCCTGGCGAGACGTGAAGACGAACACAGTGGTCAACTGCTCCGCAAGGCAGGCTTCAGGACGACTGAACTTGCAGAAACCGGTGAAGACGGCGAGCGCAGAAACGACGCGTTCCGCAAGTTGTCGTCCCGCTTCCTAACAGCAGTTCCACAAGAAGTGTGTGAACGATTTTGTGAAAGTGGACTGCAATGTCCAGGCCATTGCGAGCCTCACTGACGAGGTCGTAGTAGCTGCGATTGCAGGAACATTGGATGCCCAGGCCGACAGCTCATGTGGCAAGGAGGATCGTCCGAACGAGGTGCTGGCTACACGCGCGTACTCCGCCACTAAAGTGGCAGCAGCGTTCGGTGTCATTTGCTGTTGCATCAGCCACATGAATGAAACCGAGCTGTCGCACCTGGGCAGCATTGATAAGATCGAGAGTAGCGTCTTCAATATTTCAAATATGAAGCAGGCCAAGATAACAGATTTTTTTCGAGGGAAATTAATCATTCTGTTGCGGTACGTGTGCGGAATTAGTTGTCATTCTTAAATGTGCCTGTTGTAGGTGATGATTCGCTACAGGTAAGCTACATGCAGTGGCGACAAGACACCGATGATGCCGGAAAAAACGGGTTATTCACCAGGTAGAAGGTGGTGAACCTCAATTCGATATTGCTCAGGAGTTAAGGCAGAGTTGGACAATGATGAAATCGTCTAAGTTCTTTGAAATGACAAATAGACCGCGACTCCATTGATGGTGTGTCGCTCACACCACAGTTATCCAATGCGGACTTGGCACAGTCTCTGACAGTGCTATATCCAACTTAAAGTGGTGGCCAAACATTGACTGAAATACAGGCCAACTTTGTTATGGGTGAGCGCACTTGTGAGCAGGCATGGAACGACAAGCTTCTCTGACCACTAAGCCAAGTTCACTTTTTCTTTTTTCTCTCCCCTGGTAGTTCCCAGACAGTCTGAATAAATGGTAGGTGAATACTATTTGTTGGGCTTTTAAGTCCCAAGGCAACAATATAATTTTGACCATCTGGTCGTCTTTGACTGTGCACCCACATCTAAGTGCTTGGGCCTCGAGCACTTCACCACCATCGAAATGAGGCTGTCACGGCCAGGACCTGATCTTGTGACCTTCAGGTCAGCAATCAAGCGCCACAACCACTTGACCAGAGTGGTAGTTGTAACCTTTGAAATGCAAATTTCTGTACCACTAAATGTTCTTTCGAGTCTCCTGTTTCTTTGACTCTCTCATGCCCCGGCTCTTGCATTTGTATCTTACGGACTTTTCAGAAGCGGATTAGCAGGCTCTAGTGTACAGTAAAACCCCGTTAATTCGGACTTCACGGGACCGGAGAGAATGTCCGAATTAACCGCAGGTACGAATTATGGCGAGTATGAACAAAACACTTGAAAAATGTCTCCTACGCCATCAAACTTTTATTTATTAAAAAAAGCATGTAATCACAGTTTGCTTCACGGATGCAATGTGCGATGAAGTCACAATTTTGCGAAGTTCCTGCAGGTGGCTTAGTCTGCGCACGTTTTTCGAGGAAAGCATGCATATGTCCTCCAAAACGACCAACGCATGCGCAACCTCCGTCATAGTGTGGCGTGGACGCTCGTCAGCCGATTCCCCTTCACCGTCCAAGACTTCGGCAACCAAATTCTTTTCAGCAGCCTTCTTACCGAAAACAGCCGCCGATTGGAACCACCTTCCCTCTTCCGTTGTAACAATAACAGACCGTTTGTTATTCAAGACTGCAATTTCTCAGCAATGTTTGTAACTATACGCAGTTTCCATTATCTATCTTTGTCTTGTATGTGCTTGAATTCTTACTTATACATTTTTAGTTGATTTATGTTGCCTTCGTGATTTGCGCATCTGACACTTGTTTCTTTTTTTTTGTCTTTTTTTCTTGTGTGTTATAAAATGTTGTACCACCCCCTCTGTAATGCCCTACGGGCCCTGAGGGTATTCTAATAAATAAATAAATAAACAATATCACTGTCGGTCACTGTGCCGGCCTGGCAACATCGCTGTCAAATGTGAACTAATCGCCCAGGGACATATCAGCTGGCATGATGCTCACATAGCAGCCATCTTGCTTTTCGCCTGTTTCCTCATCGGCCACCAACCCCGGATCAGCAGCATCGTGCACAAAGGCGCTATGTCTAAAGCAGTTTGTGACTACTGCAGGCAGTGTGTCGTTCCACATGTATGTCAGCATGTGGATTGCACTTAGCAGGCTTACTTCGTACTGCTTGCCTGGCTCCATGCAGAGCAACATCCGCTCTAGCACCTGCCGTCGATAGCGGCTTTTCACGAACTGCATGATTTTGTGGTCCCTCGGCTGCAGGGAAGCCATTGTGTTCGGAGGCAGCAATTGCAGTTCAATGTTCTCGAGCCCAGACACCTTCGTGTGCGCACTACAGTTGTCTAGCACGAACAACACCTTCTGAGCCTTGGCCGCAAAGCAGCGATCGAGCTGACGCAGCCAGGCTTGAAAGAGTTAGGCAGTCATCCAAGCCTTTCTGCTGAACCGGTAGTCTACAGGCAGCTGCTTAATATTCTTGAAACACCTGGGCTTCACAGCCTTCCTGATCACCAGCAGCGGCAGCCGTTCTGTGCCGGTCATGTTGGCAGCCGGAAGAACTGTCACGCGCTCTTTACTTTGTTTTCCACCAACGCACGGGTCCCCCTTAAGGGGAGACGCTCCTCGAAAAAGTTTTTTTTTTATTTCTAGTAATAGAGACTTGAAAAGTTTGGTATTAGTATAGTTTTTCATGCAGATTTCAAATATGCAATCATTTTTTGTGTAGCTGCTATAATTATTGAGTTATTCCATAAACAATAGCAAAAAGTTACATTTTTTGCGGGCACTCTTTTATGTACTAAACTTTCAGTAAAAGCACTGTGTCTGATCTTATTTGACTCTTGGTAGATTGAAAAGTGCAAATATCTATATAGATATGTCACAGAAATATTGGAACCAAGAAAAAAAAATTGTATTGAATGACTTATTATTTTCAATCTCCCTTGAAACAATAAGCTAATATTTTCACAACTAATGCTGGTAGGCATTGCAATTTAGAGTAGATATTTGCATTCTGCATGTGTTGAAGAATATGTGTGCCAAGTTTCGTTACTATACAATGAATATAAGTTTCTAAAAGGCTGCCCGGAAAACGTGAAACTGTCAGAAAAAATGAAAATGAGAAAAACAAGTTTGAAAGTTCGCAAAGTTGGCATTTATTAGGAAATCATTCTTTTTGCATCAAATTGGGGCACAATGAAAAGTACCTTGCCTTGAATGCACTGCAAGTGTCTAGAAGTCCCCTGCACCATAGCTTGGTCCTTCACGGCTCTTGCGGTCAGTGTCCTCAACACGAGCTCTCTTCGCTGTGTTGCGACGGTGTGCCCTCGCTTCTGCAGTTTGCTTCAGGTTCATCTTCCTGATGCGCATGACGTCACAGTGGTCACCATGTGTGGCCAGATCTTGTGAGGGGAGAATCCCAATGCCTTCGAGCACTTCTTTAAAGCCCCTGTGGCCTTTGTTGTACCAGAGTACAGGAAGAGCGGTGGCTGTCTCCACAGTTGTTCTGGAGGCGAACTTTGTTTTTGGACATAGCAGCCATATCTTGCTGTTCAGCGATTCGGCTGCATTTTGTGTCTTGCCATGAAGGCACCGAATAAGGAGTTTCTCCTCTGTAAGGCGCTTGTAGATAGGCATAATTGCCAATCCTTGAGCCTTCGTCAACAGTGGGGTGTGGCGTGGTGCAGGCTCCCCCAGTGCTTCCGCACGCTTGTGCTTGCACCACGAATTTGGTCCCGCGGGGCAAAAGTTGTGGCTACTGGCACCATCACTGGAGCAGCAATGAAAATACGATGCCCATATGGCAGTGTACATATTTCGGACACTGTCCTTGTTGCTCGTGATGGCGATCTTGTAATATGTTTGTAGTTTTATTATTGTCGCATCTTTCAGTTTTTCGCCTCGTGGCAGTGGCGTTGCCAATTTCCGTAGGGCAGTTCCCAAGCGCTTTGCAACGTGGTTCGTGCACTCTTCTTTGTCAATGGGGGTGTCACAGTATACATTTGCCTCGCAGACTGCAGTGTAGGCCTTGCTGTCACCATCACTTAGGAAGCTGGTGAATCGCAGTGGAGTTTCATAAGACAAGGTCCTCTGCCATATATTGACAGCTGCCGCAGGTTCCATTGCATGGGATGAGCAGTCAGTGTTTTTTTGGCAAACTGGAAGATGAAAAGCTCGCCATATCTCTTCATCCTCCCCAAGGTCCCTGTGTATACTGCAAGCATGGCAGTAGTTCGAAAGAACTTCAAAATCGAGGCAGAGCCCCGTGTCCAGGGACACGACTGTGCCCACTCCATTGTGGCTTTTATGACCTCTTTTCTGCCAGGTGCCATCAAACATGACTGGCACATCTCTGCCGCCGACTGCGTCCTTCGTGATGTTTCGTGCCTGGTGCAAGTTTTTGCTCACTGCCGTCATCGCCGCACCATGGAGCTTCTTGTGAATGCCGTTGAATGTCTTGTGATGCATCGGGCTCGGAAGACCGAGAATCGCACAAAATCGTGAAAGTTGGTCGTGGCCTGCGCCTATAGCGCGTGCTGCCAGAACTGCCTTCACGTTTACAGCAAAGCTGTCACGCGAGCTGCCGCTGTCAAAACGAGCGCTCGTTCCTTGGTCCCCGGCCGAAGCAGTACGTCTCGACGTGTGCGTGAACGAAAGTGCAGATTCAGGGCAATCAGAATTTTGACAGCACAGTTCGAGGAATGCCGAAAGTCCTTTGCGCTTTCCAGCTGCCTCTCGCACGCCGAGCTTCCGTTCGCGGCAGGTTGGGCATTGCGCACCCGCCACAAGTGCCGTCAGCGCATCGATTTCGCAAAGCAGCATGTTCGCAGTAGCAGCATCTACCGGTCTACGTTCACTCTCGAAGAATCCAATCTTCCTTTGGGATGCACTGACGAATTCCACGGCAGCGGCTATTTCACAACCACTGTCGCAGGGTTCGGTGACGGTGTTAGGCCTATCCGAAGTCGGAGCGTCGGGGCGTTGGTCGGGGGCGACATCGTCGTTCGCTGTCGCTTTGCGAAGCGTCCGACGCCGTTTCCCTCGATACTTGTGGCGAGTTCTGAACTTTCGATTATCTGAACTGCACTTCTTCGGGCTTGCCATGACGCAAAAATGCAGAGAAACGCAGAAAAACTCGATCGCGACGTCCGAGGCTTCGCTCTTTTGCCGGAGAGATAGGAGGGGGAGGAGCGTGGAGCGCACCGCCGTCCAATGGCGGCCTCGCGCTGTGTGCCGCGATATTCAAAACGCGTGACGTACGCGTTGTTTTTCTCGTTTTTTGTTTATTCTGCGTGAAGGCACGAGACTGGCTACTAGTGGATTATGAAGGATACGGCCTTCGCAGCATGCGTGCACGATTGCAAATGGCGGCCAACGCGTCGTTTTCGCGACAGGACGACGCGAACTTCGCCGTTTTTCGCGACTTTCGCACATTTCTCGCGTCACCGCTGCCCACTTGGAAGCATTTTTTGATAATTTCTCGTGCGAATTTCAGCTTGATATTTTCAGAAGTAATAGATTATAGTCCAAGGATGCCAATACAGCCGGAAAAAAAAAAGCGAAAATTTTCCGGAAAACCGCGACTTTTCGACCCGCGTCTCCCCTTAAACGCGATTGTCTTGTCAGGCAGAGCCTCATAGAAAAGCGCCGTCTTATGAGCGTTGAAAATGTTGCACGGCTCGTACGTAGAAAGGCGCACGGATAGTCCAGACCGCCAGTCCTGCACAACACTTTCGTCAACCGCACCTCTTTCACCACACACATTGCGGAACACCAGCCAGTGTCGCTTCTTGAAGCGGTCGAACCAGCCTTTCGGCGCACTGAAGGAGTCAATGTTCATGGTCACCGTGCGCAGATAAGGAGGCCGCTCAAGAGCAAACGCGCATCGCGAGAAACCGCAATCCAGCGCAACAGCGCTTCTTCTAGCTAGGGATGCGCTGCCGTTCGAAGCCTCTTCCTTTGGTCACGAAACATGTCCCCGTCATACGCTTGCATAATCTGCTCTTCGTTCTTCACATAAGTGCCAGCGAGCTTTTCTTCACATTGAATTTTTCCATTATTTCTTTTCGAGATGCTCACGATTGCAACGCCTTCTTTCACCTTCACAGCCAAATCCTTTGCTTCGTACTACGCCCTCTTCGCTGCAGGAGTTAGGGCAGTTGGGGCTGCAGGAGACAGAGGGGAAGACAACCCGGCGTCGTTCGCGTGGTGGTCACGCGCACACGCATGAAATAAACACAAACACACACACACACAAAAAATGCACTGTGATAAAAATGAAATAAAAACCAACGAACTTTTCAAAAAAAAAAAACAAGCAGTAAGACTGCAGATGGCACTGATCACGTACAGATAAATAATTTAAAGCACACTAAAGGTGAGCAATCCTACTTAATCGTCACGCAAACATGTTTGACGCGCAAGAAAAAAGGAAAGGCAAATCTGTTGGTTGCCCGTTGCTGATGACAGTAGCGATGCACTGCCTTCCATTTTGGTTGTTTAAACCACCATGTGGTATTTTTTTTTTTTTTTGGATCTCGGATGCGTCCAAAATGTACTACCCATGGACGAAGTTTTGTATCTCAGAGGCCGCAAACCGATCCCAATGTTGTTTAGCTGGGCCATCAAATTGGCCGGGAGAATCCGCTGCTGCTTTCCCGTTGTAACTCGACCGCAGTCGGGCGTTCTAGTTCACCGAAGTGCGGCCAAATTTGTCCGAATTATTGAGAGTTTTCAGTCATAGTACAATGTACATCTTGGGCGGGAACAGATGCTGTGGCCAAATTAACCGAAATTTCGAATTAACGGGGATCGAAATAACGAGACTTTACTGTATACCTTTTTTTTTTTCCGACACTGCCCAGACATGCATGGCTAGGCATAGGAGAGGCCAAAACATCTTTGTTAGTTCAAATTCACGGTGACGCTACTCACTTAACCCCTGCAAGATCAGATGACCCAATAGGTTTTGAGCTACGGTGGTCATTGACATCTTTAGTAACGAATGCGACATTCACATCACTGTGATCTCTTATGTGACACATTCTACTCTTCTCCAAGACGAAATGAAAAACTCACTTCCTCGCCGTTGAGGAGGCCATTCTGCACGTTCTTAATAAGTTCAATCATCTTCTTAGCAGCCTGACGCTTTGCCAGGCGCTTTGACTTGCCTTTGCCTGAAAAGAAATGAAAGCAGGGGTGTGAGGCGAGAGTGGCAGATATGATTCATGAATACCTGGTACCACCCTACAGAAGATGAGGAAATAGTTTTTCTGTTCTCGTGCTTCTTCTGGTGCATTCTCAACCCTTTTGTCGCAAGACTGTTCGGATGTACAGTAATCTTGCTATAGCGAACCTCACAGTAGCAATTTTTTTCAGATGAACGACTTTTTCGAAAATCACCCTCCACACGTCAATTGGTTTGATGTAAAAATATTTCATTCCTACAATTCCAGAATACAGAATTTTTCAGAATAATGCATCAAATTTTATTCCCCCTTATATCTCCACAACACTTCGAGATAACGAATAGCACTTTTAGAAGGTTACTCGCACTTGTAAAAATAATGCCCAGCTCCATACTTCCCGAAACCACGATAGCTATCATAGCTATCAAAAGAATGAGGCACTGCTGTCTACTAAGACTCTCAATGTTGCGCGCCCGTCGTACCACAAGTGGCCTTGTGCACGACTTTCAAAGCATCACCTATAAGTCCCAAACAGAGTGTACAGGCTGCTTATAACCTAAGTCGCAGGGGTCGCGTTTATCCACACTTTAAGCGGTACCACACTATAACCAAAATAACCCTTTTCAAGGGCCTTACTAAAGCGAAAAACTGTTGAGTATGCAAGCTTCACGTGTCTGAGAACTGAAGCATGCAATACGTGGTGCTTACAGCCATTGCAATTTCCAAATGTGAAACAAACTTAACGTCCATAGAGCCATGCTGCCAACAAAATGATTGTGAAGAGGGGGTCTAACAAAAAAAAAAAAAAAAACACCAGCATGGAAATGTGCCAATACATACCTCTCAGACCACATCGCTTATGCGCATTACACTAACTAGGACAAACACCGTCCAAAATTTCATGCACTGAAAGACAACAACCATTCGATTACACAGGCACTCCTAATTTCAAAACATCCCAATCGAACGGCGAACCACCATTCGAGTGCTTGACGTGCCATCCTCGTTTCCATTAACAATATGTATCCGTTTCCTTCTAGTGCAGCCACCACAAAGAGTATCGTTGATTCCATACCAAACCACAACTTGGATAGCACAGAATTGCTATCGACGTGCAAGTAACACTCAATAGGCCTAGCCTGCTGTTCAGTATGCTGTCGTAAGAAATTTCTCCTAGACACAAAGAACGGGCGTCGAAAAGATAGCACTCAAGCACTGAACCAAAAATAGTGTGCATGATACAACGTTTGCGTTCGCGACCAGGAGATCAAGAACGAAAAACCTCCAAGCTTATGTAAGACCATTCGATGGCAGCAAAGGCATAAAGCCATTAAATGTTTTTCATTTTACGGACAAGGTAGAAACTCTATATCTGTAGCAAGCTTGATAACGACGCTTTTCCCAGCAGGAAGCCATAGAAAAGGGGAGCCTGTGGGGAATTTATGATGGGACCACACATGCCACGTTGAGCGGCGGGCTCCCGTCAACAACCGGCCGAAGCCAACCTAGCTAGGCTAGTACACTCTAGCCCTGTTTACACCGGTCCTCCTACTTTGCGAATGCGCTCGGAGTGCAGAGGTATTTTTACATTTTCTTTTTTTCTCCTTCCAGCATTTGCTTGTTCAATCCACATCCCCTTCATAATGACCTCGTCGCTTTCTCCCCGACAACGCCCCCAACGCGACGCCTCTTAACAGACGCGCACTTGCTATGGAGGAAACACGACTCGCTATAATCACAAATAATTTCTGGCAACCACACTATAACGGGTCTTTCATCTTGGGGGACTACAAAATAAGCGGTATGTGTATATATGGGGTCCTATGGGAGGGTAGATGGGAGTCAAAAGAGACCGCATTGTAACCGGTCTACACTGTACGTGAAAAAAATTGGCAGATCCCACGTACAGCCGGAATCGATGATATGCGAAGCACAAATGGGAAAGGTTGATATGTCACTTTAAAGTCAGCACAACGTTACGAGGCGGAGATAAATTATGCCGTACATCACTTTCATATCACAATTATCATGTTTGAACTTGTCATTTACGTTTGTCATCTATTCACGACACCTGATACCAAATTAGGCATAAGTGAAGCTAGCGAAATGGTCGCGAGCATGCTATGAGCATAGCATGTAGTCAAGTTTTACACGACACGCATGCCATAATTATCATGTTTGGACATGTCATTCACCTTCATCGTCTATTCCTGTCACGTAATACCAAATTTGGTATATGTTGAGCTAGTAAAACGGCCACGAGCGCGCTATAAGCATAGCATGTAGTCATGTGTTATATGACACGCCTATCGTGATTATCATGTTTGGACCAGTCGTGTATCTTCATCATCCATTGACGTCACTCAACCCCAAATTTGGTATACGTGGAGCTAGGGAAATGGCCGTGAGCGCATCATGAGCGTTGCATGTAGTCGTGTTGTTACATGACACGCACCTAATGATTATCGTGTTTGCACCAGTCACATACCTTCGTCATCTATTCACGTCTCGTGATACCAAACTTGGTATATGTGAAGCTAGCAAAAAGACTGCGACCTTATCATGAGCATGGCATGTAGTGATGTTCTTACATGACATGCATGTCATGATTTTCATGTTAGGGTCTATTGCTTGTGTTTGCCATGCAGTCATGTCATACCATACAAATTTTGCAACATGTCATGTGAACGAAACCACCATAAACGCAGCAACACCATGAGATGTAAACCAAGACTAGAGGCCGGATTTTCATGCACTAAAAAAGTGTGTTTTAGGCGCCAAAGACAGGCAGGTAAAACACTGTTTTAGGTCTTCAAAATCATAAATATAGGTACAATAAATTTCTACAAAAATTGAAATAATTTAAAACAAATATGTCACTGACTTGTGTCTATGACTAGAAGCAAAAAAATGATACCGTTTGATACACAAAGGCGTGAATGACTGAACATAGGGATGCATTTCCCGCGCGATTCGCAGATTACGGTCTTTCGTTTTATTGTCTAGCATTGTGAGTCAAGTGTCCACCATCAAATCAACACTCTCCTGGGTCTCTTTCGATTCGCTGTTGCTGGGAAGGGCAGTGAAGGAGCAAATAACCAGACAACTGATATCCCAGAAGGGAGGGATACGAGGTCTAATCATGTAGGATCAATTTCTCCCCTATGGGCAAACACCTTAGAGGGCCCCTCACTAGGTTTGGGCACCTCGGGCTGACAGGAATAATGGATGCACTGGGCACTCAGGATCATGCCTGTTAAACATGTTGTAAGAAAACGCTCAATTTCTACTGAATGCCACTTGCTCTTCTTGCGGGCGCGCACCCCCATTACGTTGACATTGGTGCTCTAACGTCGCTTACCGTACACCCTTCATCAAGACTTGGTTATATGCTAGCTACATATATCTAGAAAAACAGACGAAAAATGTTGCATCCCTTGATTATATCTGGCATTTTAAACAGTACCTCATTAGGAGCGTTGCACGTGACATTATTACAGTTGGCCTGTGTTATTTGCGTGTTCTGTTGTGAAGCATGAATGAGGAGTACTTTGGTTAGGGCTAGCTATTTCACATTGTTACGAGTAGCTTCTATAATAACCTATTCACGATGCACAGAGCTCGGAAGGCAAAATGGCGCCAGTTTAGCAACAACCAAAACTCATTTGGTCTACCTTTCTTTCATGCAGCTGCGTTGTGGCAGCTGTTAAGTATAAATATTATTCTGAAAAGAAAAAAGCACAAAGACAAAGAGAAAAGAGAGACAGTGCTTTTTGCTTCTATGTAGTAGTTTATTTTCCCTGTCTCTGTGCGCTGCCCTTTCAGAATGAGTATAATAAATGAAAGCTGAGAAAAATAATAAAACACGCAAATGAAATGTCAGCCTGTAATTATTTCTATTTTTGGTTTTAATGGACGCGAGACTCTATACACTAATCAGCCCTCATTTCACACGCCGCCTCTGTCAAGCAATAACTACAGTGCTCCGCTGCTCACCCGAATGTCACGGGTTCGATTCCGGTCGCAGCGGTCGCATCTAATAGAGGCGAAAAGTTTTTTGCCTACGTACTGCGCGATGTCAGTGCACGTTAAGGCACGAACACACTAGCGGCGCCACGCTCTGCCGCGCGCCGCTCGCGAGACGCCGCTTTTCTCTCTTTCTCCCGCCGAGCGTCGAGGAATTTCTGCCGCCGACTCAATCGCTCCTTGCGCTATTTCTGCCGCCGCCGCCCAAGCGAAGCGCCAATCAGCGACGTGCGTGGTAGTCGCCATAGCAACGCACGGAGCTTGTTTTTTTTTTTTTTTCCGGCTGTCATTTTTCTCACGCCATCGTTTTTTGAAGCACGCACCATGGACACCGAACGCTTTTTAGAGGAGATCTTTTTAGAGGAGAGCTTTTTAGAGGAGAACGCTTTTTAGAGGAGAACGCTTTTTAGAGGAGACTCTACCCTTTCTTATACAACAAAACGATGCCTGATTACAAAGATAAGGAAGCAAAAATGAACAGATGGGATCTTATAGGATCTATGTTTGGATTGAAAGGTAAGTGACGATTGCGTGGCTCATTGCATGTTGAGCGCGAATGAATAGTATGTTTTATTCACTCGCTCGTGCAGGAACACAGGCCATGCTGAAGTTTAAAAATATTAGAAACAGGTGGATGAAGCTCGTGTCGGTAGTCGAGGCGAACACTCGGAGCGGTGCGCCAGGCAATAATGGCAAAATTAAGTGGCCCCTGTTCTCAATCATTGACAGCACGCTGAGGCAGACACCTCACTATGCGGAAAAGTAAGTGATCAATGACGAGCCGTTTCATATTGCAGCGCACGCAGGATACCTGTTTCATGCTTTCAGTATCTCTGTACCTCCAAATCGGATGGACCCAATATCTTCGCGGCGCATTTCGAGAGCGGCGACGCTGAAGCAACAGCAGACACGCCATCACGGTAACGTTGAGCGTTGCGCGGAGATCGTCGTCGCCTGCCATTGTTCGCACGATTGCACCGTAAAGTCGGAGAGCTCAGAACCAACGCTTCCTAGTACAGGAGGCGTTGTCAGAACAGACGACGAAAAAGCGCGCAAAATCTCGCGAGCTGCGAGACCGCTCGAGACTGTTGTCACGTGACTCCCGCAGATGTGGCCAGCGTGCCGCTTTTCACCGCTCAGCGGCGAAGACGCGCGTCATGCCGCGGCGGCACGCTTCCCGCTAGTGTGCTCGTACCCTTAAAGAACACCAGATGGTCAAAACTTCCGAAGACATCCCCTACAGCATTTCTCATAATCATATCATCTTTTTTCACGGAAAACACATGATACACATGACACATACTACTACAATACTACTACTGCTACTACTACTATTATTACATACTACTTCAACTACTACTACCCCATTTCGCTTGCGTTCATCTTCTCGTTTTTTTTTCTGCATCGTGCCTTCGCCAACTCTGACAATGCTTAGCTTGTGTTTGGTGCGCTGTTTCTGACCGCAGTTTCAGTGGAGCTATGTCGTATATTGGCGTAACGATACATGATCCATGCCAGCCTCTTCGAAAGTACGCGCGCCGACTGATCCATCCCACAGAAACGGGTAATACACAACAGCGAACGCCAGAACAACTGTATTCAGGTGTAGGGTGAATGTATGCTAACTACACCGTTAATTGAAAACATGCCGGTGCCTGTTTCAGGCTTCGCTGAGTAAGGTGTAACAATTTGGCGGCCTTCGCCACCACTGAATCAACATGAGCATTCTATGAGTGGCTCTCTACGGTTTCTCATTCCTTCTCCATCTACCCACGGCTGCAGAGAAAAACCTGCTGTGCTTTTCTCACAGCAGCACCCAAGTTTTCAGGCCGGTTCTTTAGTTGCTTCAGGACACTGGACAGCTGTCAGGTAGAAGACGGGTGCCACATCCTTGGCCATAGACGCCACTCATATATTTCCTTATCCCATCTTTAATTCTCTCTCCGCATTCCCCTGGAGACACTGAGACGGGCTTCTACTCAGGGCTGCAAAAATAGTGTATTTTGAACTCCTCACGTACAACCGCTCGCAGCATTTCATCCCCGTGGCGTATAGTGGCCAGTGAGCGCTACTTCACTGGGATTAGCAGAAGTTTTGCTGAAGTTGCTAGAACTAGATGACTTCATTGAACCTCATAGTGTTTGAAAATATCAATGTTGCCTTGTTTACATAAATATTGGTTTCAAAACAGACTCAAAAAAAATTTGGCCTTAAATAGTACTCGTATAGACGCCGATTTGAAAAAAAAAAAAAGCATTTTTAGGCACTTATAGGCATTTAGGCATGAACCCCAAAAATAGGCATAGGCATTTATAGTCACTATAAAAACACTAAAAAGGCCCTTCTTAACCTCTAATTCATGCTCATATATCAAAATGGCACAATAGAAATGCAAGGAACAAAATAGGCATTTGCGTATAATCCGGTCTCTAGTCATGACATTCATGTGATGATTTTCATGTTATGACTAGTTACTTATGCTCGTCATAAAGTCATGTTATGCCATACCAATTTTGGTACAGATATCGTTACCGGAACAACCAGGAGAGCTAAAAATTGTCGGCGGCTAGATAGATAGACGATACGATCAATGTCGCCGAAGTTCGCTAAGAAATGCTTCGCATTCAAGAGGATTTTGCTCTTTAGTGCCCCTAACCAATGTGGGTTTGGCAGGAACATGTTACTTGACTAGTACTACACAATTCAGCCGGGAAGATGCGATGTGATTACTGATGTGCGATTTTACATCCCATGAGTAACTTTATGCTATTTTGGTGGCAACAAGTCACGAGACTAGTTAATTATTTGACATAACGTTCTACTCTTTCTTTCTCTATTTTTCCCTTCCTCGTTTTTCATTTATCTCTCTCTCATTTTTCTTATGTCTTTTTACGTAAAACTCTTCTTTTCTGTGTCTGTCTTTCTCTTTGTATCTTTCTATTTATTTTTTATCTCTACACAAATTCTCTCTGCCATTCGAGTTATTGCATGCCATGCTGGAGAAATCGCCGCAGCGGGAGAACACGTTGGACGCATGCACTAGGAGAGATGAAGATAACAAGAAGAGCTTGTGCCGCAAGGAAAAAAAACTGCTTTCGGAGGGCTATGGTGCTGTGTCGCTATAAGCATGCTTATACTTTTTTGGCCCGTGACAAACAAAAAATGCAATTCTTTTTGCATGGTACAGAGTTAATGTGAGCGTGTCGAGTTTCTGACAAATGCTCTAGCAGCCAAGAGCGGTACCCCCAAAAGCGAAATCAAGGCGAAAGCGAGAAAGCTCACCCATTTCATTGAGGTTGTTGACGAGGCAGGATATGCCGAAAGTGCGCTCATGGGGCAGGCCATCCTCGATGACAGTCTCGTAGAAAGGGGGCCGCCAGCGAAGTTTCATGCAGAGCTCTTGCAGCTCTCCCACCGGGTTGCCTACGATGCCGTCGTCCTCGGCTCCAGCAGCCGGTGTTCCTGTACTTCCCAGAGTGCTACCTGCTAGGGGCGTGCTGCCAGGAAGCCCATTGTTGCTCGGAGCCACTTCACCACTGCGTTAACACAAGGCCAAAATTTTTTATCAGAGTGGCATGCAATGCTCAGATATGAGAATAAGTTTTTCGCTGTTTTAAAATGGCTATGTTGTGAGAAATGTCACCAATGTAAATGCACTCAGCAACACTGGTAAGTGCCAACTCACACTGCCGCGGGGACAGTCCCCTCCATTTGCTCTATGGAAGGAAGATCTTCCATGACCGCTGCCCGATATTTGGCAAATGGACCATCGTCGGCGAGCAGCTTTTCAAGAATAGCCCTGGCAGCGGCATGTTTGGCTTTTTTCTTGCTCTGGCCAGTGGCATTGGCGACGACTTCCCCCACCTGCACCCTGTAAAACGAGGCAGCTAAATTAGAAGGCAAGTTAAATGCATCAAACCCTTTGGTGTGAGAACGGAAATGCAGTCAACTAGTAAATTAAAAAGCAAAAGGAAAGAACAGGAAGCGTGAAAACTTGGGCAAGTTGGTAGGACATAACTGAATGTACGAACAATGCAACCTAGAAATAGAGCATAACCATGGAAGTGAAAAAACGAGGATAAAAAAGAGCGCTGACTTACAACAATGATTTAATAGTATAGTGGTGTACATATATGGGCGAAAAAACAAGAGAATGGGCATGTGTAGAAGGGTGCAGTTAACAAATAGACAACTTACAAATAAACCAAATATACTATCTCTTTTTGCAACAGCGCGACAGATGTGGAACTTACACATGTACCGTCAAACTCACTTAAGTGATAGGCTTCAATTATCTCACGCGTTGCCTGCGAGTGGTGCTTGCCTATTACATCGCAACGCTCAAAGAGGGGCACGCAACCGCAGTCTCGGCAGTGGATTCCGAGGTGTCCTTGAATGACATTGTGCACTCTGCTCTGGGCCCATTTCTAGCTAGAAATGAAATTTCACAATTCGAGCCAGCCTGGCTGGCATTGTAGAGCGGTGGAGACTGGCGAAAGAGTTGCGATAAAGAGAGGAGAGCAGACTTGCAAGAGAGAAGCAAAGGAATTGCAATAAAGCAAACAGAGGGGAACAGGCAGCCAGGTAGCTTGCTTGAAAGGTTCACGAAACGCACACCTCATGCACAGGAAAACTTGGGAGCATCTTTGGAGAGTGGCCTGTGTATGCAGAGGTCAAAGAATCACATTGTGGCGCCAGCAGGCTTACGCAGCCCCACTAACTTCATTATTCATGATTTGTTGCGTATAACAGCCATTTTCATGCTTTCGCATGCGGAGGACATGCTAAGCAGAGTGTGTAGCGAGTGAGAACAGGTCTTAAACACAGAACAAATTGCAATTTATCAGTCTGTGGTGTAGCGCAAGTGCCTGCACTGTAACAATACGACACCGATTCTAGACAATACGTACACGATGTTGGCAAATGGTCTAGTTCGTCTAGGCCAGCGACGCCAACAATACAGTAACAAGACCAGCAATCAAAAGCTGAGGGGATTAGTCAGCCGACCAATCTTCAAAGAATCGGTGGCAGTGTGCAAACAAGGGCCTCGTCTGTCGGGATGCTCGGAGTGGCAGGGGACAAAGCACGGAGGAGTGTGTAACCAAAAACATTCAAAGAGAGCAACTAGAGGGCTGCGGAGACAGGGCTGGCATTTAACAATAAGAATCTGTGAGCACCTCGCGTGGCTTATCGGTGGTCAAAAGTGGTGCCCCGGGAAGTCGCCAGTCCCCTGTTATAGCCCAAATCGGGCTGACAGTATAATAAAATGAAAATGAAATGAGAGTGCAGACTCTGTTTGCTGTAACCGATCGGCGGCGCTCAGAGACGTTTGTCGTGTGATTATGTGCCATTGGTTGATTGATTGATTGATTGATTTGGGGGGGTTTAACATCCCAAAACCACAATATGATTATGAGAGATGCTGTAGTGGAGGGCTCCGGAAATTTCGACCACATGGGGTTTTTTAACGTGCACCCAAATCTGAGTACACAGGTTTATAACATTCCCACCTCCATCGGAAATGCAGCCGCTGCAGCCGGGATTCGATCCCACGACCAGCGAGTCGGCAGCCGAGTACCTTAGCCACTGGACCACAGCGGCGGGGCGATTATGTGCCATTGAAATAATGTATATTTCTAGAGTAGAGTGGGTATCATTCACTTAAAGTGAAAGTTCATTTTAAAGCGAGTTGTATGTGGGTTTGACTGAATTATTTTACCACTTTTTTGCTTTTACACTTATCTATTTTAGCGCAATGAAAGTTGAAGGAGTGGTGTCATCAAATTTCGTGGCTATAGCTTATGGGTTTCCTCTGTATACACAGACACTCCACACGAATGGTCGGACAAAAGAAATGTTTTGAATAAATTTTAATTCACTTCCGAAGTGTATTCTCCAGGCCGAAGCCCACAGCAATTGTTTACGTAGCTCTGTAGGGAAGGGCAACAAAAGTTGTAGTGAGGGCACACCGCATTTATAGTGAGAACAGGCATGCACAGGTTTCCCCTTCACGGGGAATGAAGGTTCATCGCAGTCCTACCCACTCCTCCTCCCTATTATGTCTATGTTTGGGGTTGACTTTGCGCTCCAGGCACGGTGCAAGAATACTTTAGGTGAGCGAATGCCGCGAAGCGAGCGCTTGGCAAGGAGGTACCAATTATGTTCTCGTTTGCGGCATGCCGATAGATGGCTCGCCAGACTGAAGACCAAGGTGGGCTGCTGGCGAATTCCGCAAAGCACATCCGACATGTGAGCGACAGTTTCCAAATCTGAGAAAACCGGGTAATCGCCCGATATCAACCATGCGACATGCATAGAGCGGCGCCGTGAAAGAGAGGGTGATGAGGGAGGACGTTGACAGTGCGGCGAGGGTGTTGTGACGATAAATGAGCACCGCTACTTTCCTACATCACGGGGCTTTCCTACACGAAGAAGGGGAGAGGGGAAGCCGGGGCAAAGTTTGTAGCGCCATCCCCTAGCTTCTAACGAAGCAGAACATTATCAGGCAGCGGATAGTCCCGGCATTCGCTCACCTAAAGTATTCTTGCACCATGGCCCTAGGTAACTAAGAAAGTTGGTGCCTCCTCAGCTCCCCCTCCTCTACCCCCCCCCCCCCCTCCCACCATGTGCCTGCGGACGCCTATAATAGTGAGGTAAGTGGCCTTCGGACCTTGCCACGTAGGCAAGGTCCGAAGGCCACTTACTTGCCTTCAGCTTAGCAGCAAAATGCCACGCCCACCAAACCATAATGGCTGGTTGCATTCACTGTGTGTGCCCATATGAATTTGCACCATTGTGCAGACTGCTGGTCTCCTGGCTAGCTCCGAAGATACAGTAGCCACCTTTACAAGGAACTGGTTCCAAATTTTCTCAGACAAAGAACAAGATTTCCACTGCTGAAGGCTTGTTTCCGTGAAACCATGCATGTTTCTTGTGCACGTACACACAGCTTTCAAGGCAGATGACAATGCCTCTGCTCCTGGTCACTTGTGCCTTCCAAGAGTGGCACCTAGATCGACCAGCAGCAAAGCTAGCTCACCTGTACATGAATGTGGGCGCGTGCACTGCACCTTCGACAGACAGCAGCTTGTACTCCGGAGTGAGGCAGTTGCGGGCACACAGCTCCTGAAGAATGCTGATGGGAGTCTTCTGGTTCACAGATGCAGCTGCTGCAGGTTGGAGCAATTTAAAAGACAAGTCAACACAAGTCGCGGGAGCTACCGAGGCCTATAAATCTCAATAAAACATGCCTTAATGTGCAATTTTATTGATACTTTGAAACTTATACCTCGAACACCTTGTGCAAGGGTCATTGTTTCCGTCTAGTGTGTGCAAATCTTCACCTTTAAAGCAACACACAAACTAGCCCCCAAACGTGCACTACTTCAAGACCGGACACCTAGTATCTCTGCAAGCTGTGCAGTTTTTATGCGAACTAATTTATAAGATTAACATGAACACTCTGAATTAATGCCGAAGTAACTTATGCTTGTTTTAGCTGTCAGTGCATGCTGTTCATGCCGACAGCTTGCAAGCTGCCCATTTGAAGAAAGTGCACAGAATACTCACTGTCATGAGCGACTATGTTCAGCTTTTCGGTGGGGATGGCCGTTTCAGTGGCAATGTAACCTGCGTAAAGAAAACTTCATTGTACTTTGCATGCAAATAATAAATGGGAGCATCAACGAACTTGGTTGTAGTTAGCTGTGTGCACTGCTGTTGCCAGCGTATGCATGCAAATTACTTCAACACAATGTCACAATTAGCAACTGCCCCGACTGCTTGGTTGAGTTTTATAACATGTGAAGTATTATAATGAACGTGGCTGTGGCCCCATTTATTACAAAAGCAATAGTGGAGTAGTGGCCCTTAGGAAGTTCCAACTTGAAAACAAAAACAAATGCAAGCTCCACCCACAAAATTGCAGGGCACCTGCCCTCCAACTGTGAAAGACCTTTATGCCAGCTTGTTTTCACTTTAACCGTAAAGACTTTTCTCAGCTAATGTAAATGCTACACATATTAGAAGTTTAAAGGTTCCTCATTATTACAGGGTTCGTACAGGTTTCCAAAGCGAAAATTCAAGGATATTCAAGGACTTTCCAGGACCTGTTTTTCAAGGACTCAAAGCAGCATGCTAAGTTGGAACTCTTCACTCTAAAAATTTTCAGAAATGACAATTTCATTACACTTACAATATATGAATATCACAATTATTAAAAAAAGAGCGTAGTATTAATAACTTCTTGCACCCTCTCCATAGGGAGAGGGCACGATGTCATGTCGGAAAGTGTAGCCAGGCCTTAAAGGGGTCGTGCCACAATATTTGTGGCTTGTGTGCTCTTTGCTGCAAGCCTTAATTATAGCTCCAATATGCATGATACACGCACCAAGATTAATTCATTCTCACTATATAATTGGTCACATTTTTGTATGGACAATTTTCAGTTCCTGTTGGTGGGGACTGAGTTGTGCAGGTACATAGCAGTGTATCTGACTTAGTGACGTGATCACAAAGCTTTGCATGCGTCATGCTGAGTATTGTCAGCTCTCGCACACATGTGCCGCACAAGCACCTGCAAAACGATCTCACCGCTACCTGCAGCAGCCGTGCTGCTTTGCCGATATGCATGGGGCGGAAGTCCGGAGGTCACTCAGAAGACTATAGATCTGGTGTGACGTCACTAGAACTTTTGTTGCCCTTTCTGTAGTGCTACGTCAGCGTTGGATGCACTCACGATGGGCCTCGAATAGGAGAATGAGCATTTACGTACACCTGGGAAGTGAGTTAAAATATATTCTTAAACCCACAAGGTGTTTGCTACAGCCTTGAAATTTGATGGCACCACCCCATCAAGAGTGCCGGCTTAAGCACAGTTGACACTCGCAGCTCATTGCTCAACAACCAAGAAGTAACAACTGTGACAGTGGTTAATTTACACTCATCCTGTGAATGTATGTGTGTTCTTTTCTAGCACCGTTCTTGGTTTGTTTGAGCAGCACGCTTCCAGAGTCGAGCTACGACAGTCGTTCATCAACACTCGTCCTGTGCACTTTTTTTACGTGCGTTGCATGTATGGGGTTGCTTGCCCTTCTTCGTGTGACATTCCAATTTTTCACTATCACATTCACTGCTTCATCCTCACCAGAAGCTAACTTTTTTTTCCCATGCACTTTTGCAAAATGAGATCAATTACACCCACGCCCCATTACTGCTTCAAAAATGGGGGAGTTTGACAGGTTCTTACACCAATGTACCACATTTAGGAGGTCGCAATGTCAATATGAAAGTTCACTGCTCAGGAAACTCAAGGATTTTCAAGGATGACAAAAAATGCCACGACTTCCAAGGACCTTGAAAATGCATTTTTCAAATTCAAGGGTTTTCAAGAATTTTAAGGACCTGTACGAACCATGTTACAGTGATGGAATCGACATTTTGCTTTGTCAAGCAGATTATGGAGCAAAAAAAATGGTGCTTTGGAGCAAACTCAAGTGTCGACAGAGCAGAAAAAAATGCTATAGCTTAGGGATGGTGTTTTCAGAGTAGATGCATGTTCCTAACGACTTCAAAGTATAGAACATCACTTAAGCATTTATAAATATTTATATTTATTATTATACTATTAAACATGCTGTATGCTAGTCATACAAGCCATATAGCAGCATCATTGGCGTAAATCATGGGGGGGGTGGATCCAAGAGATTTAGCTTTAGCACGTGATATAATTGGGTGAACAGTGAAGTACAGCGCAATCAACTTTTTTAAAGGCTATTTATCTTTTACTGGGTACCTGTGTTAAATGCCCCTCACCTGTGTAAACTATGGAAATAAAAAGAAGGTGAAAAAAAAAGAGACTGAATAGAACAATGCGACTGCTCGAGCTTGGAGCTTATGCTCATTTTTTAAAATTTTATTTGAAACCATGATTTAACTCCCATATAAAAAAATAAAAGCCATATTAAAAATACGAATTTGACACCAGGGCCTGATATGTGTCACCCTTTGAGATTTTTCTGGATTTACTCCACCAAGTAGCATACTAGGATGACAGTGTATACAGCTTGCTTTTGGTTTCGCTTATGCTCACGGGATGGTCTCATGGTTCAAATTCATTCTTTTTAGTTTGCCAACACCATTTTGGAGCAGTTACTAGCAAATATTGCACTTTGGAGCAGCATTTCTAGTTTGGAATAGCATTTGCATCACTGTTATTACCTAAACCCTTACAGTGGGCTACACAGCAATGTCAGAACCACTGGCGAAATTCCCCAGAACATTCCACAAAGTTTTCAATCCAAAACCTGAGACTCCAACATCTGTCAATGAATAAGGCAACTATCTGTGAAACACTGGAGAAGTCCCTGCAATCAAAAAAAACTAACAAGCACTACTAAATAAAGTATTACAGCGAATTCCGTTAGGTTGTAACCCCCTTTTCCTTGGACACCAACTACCTTGCCTTGGCACAAGACAAACTATCTTCCTCGTCCATGGTAGAAATGCCCTCCATCAAGCTTGCAGTGTGATATGTAAAATTATTTACATTCTAACAGAGGGTAAAATTGGATTCCAGGTGGAGGAAACAGACTATATGGCAGTTCGCGTAAGATGGCTGAAGAGAGAACAGCGCCAGTTGTAGTTTGTATTCACTAAGAGGCCAAGTATGGTGAAGTTTAGTCACAGAGAACATGATGATTGTACTTAATTTGTCACTTTTTGTAAGACCAATTTTCCAAAGGAAGCAGCACATGCTTCTTTTTAGTGGAATGAACTATTACAATACAGTCAATACAATACTGACTATCATGATCAATAACTTGGTGTGAAGGTCAATTATGGACAAAGAGTGGAACACAAGAAGTTATGCATTGTCCGAGGTATCATGATCTGTTCAACTGTTGATAGTAGATGTGACTGTTTATCAAGGTGCAAATATCCCTCACAGTGTAGACCATAAAATATATAAATGCTTAAATACTGACAATTAATAAAACAGTAAAATATGCAAGCACCATTGGCACTAAATTCAAAACTGCAACGCACGAACATTTTTCGAATGAGTATTGGAACAGTGGAAGCTTTCGGTTCTTTTCATTGTTACAGTTCTGAAAATGACAGGAGCTATACACTTAGCGCATGACAAACATTAGGTTATGCAGCCCACTTAAAGGGCAACTGCACTATCTTCACCACCATATTATATCAGCACCTTCAAATAGGTATTGACAGTCCTTCAACGGATAGGGTAGTTCAATTTACCGCCGCACAAATTTACAAGAACATTAAAAGAGTAGTAATTTTAGCTAGACTGATTAGTAATGTTGCAAAAAAGTTACCTTTAGTTAGATTGAAATAAGTTTCATAGAGTCTGTGAAATAGTTTCACAGAATCTGTTCAACATCCAGACACATTAAACAATTCAATACATAGTGTGCACGAGCGTCACGCTGCGCCGATTCGTCACTTCCGAAATGCCCCGCCGACATGCCTTAGTACCTACTGACTCCGTGGCTGACCGCTCCCGTGTTGTTTCCTCGTGCATGCGCCCGTTCAGTTTTGTCTAACAATGCAAGTTCGAGCAATTATCAGCTGCTGGTGAGGCAAGTTGATAAACAGTCCACGAAGAGCGAGCAGAGTGTCGAGGTGTTCTCTTTGCCGAAAGTTATTACCTAAAATTGAGAACGCACACTGCGATTTTCCGAAAAGCACCAACATGTTTGGCTGGCACATATTAACAAAAACGACTTGAAGAACTGATGATATTTGAGTCTTCAGGTGTAACTTCATTACGAGTAAGTAATGAAGTTACACCCGAAGCACGTACCTGCAAACAGAGATAGGTACTGTATATACAAACTTGTTCACGACCGCTGCGTGCACAATCAGCGTGACAGGGAGGCTGTTAAAATTGTGAAGGCAATCACGGGAATTCGGGTATTGCATTCAAACAATGTGTGAAAATAGGTGTGAAACAATATTCGTTCACTCGCGATTTGAAGTCTAGGTGATCGGTTCAAGTTGGGGGATCAGGTTTTTTAAAAATTGGTCGATTGATTCCCTAAAACAGTCTGCAATCATTTTAGGGACAATACTGTACATTAGCACACAACAACAAAAGTAATATACAAGATAAAAAATGAGTCAAAACATACGCGAAAAAAAAAAGTGACTGGCATCGGCACAGCACGCACCACGCGAAGTCTCTACCTTGCATATTATATTCCTTGGCTGTTTCCACGAATTCCAATCGAAGACGCTCAACATCATCACTGTTTAAAACACTCGGGGAGCCACATTGCTACTTTGGTGGTGTGGGCCGCAGCAAGATATTAAAATTGGTATTAATAATGTATCTCCTGTAAACTTGCGTAGCTCTGCACGATGACCCATTTTCGATGGGAGCTGTGCGCTTCGCTCATCCACTTTTAAAATTGCGGCTCGAGAGACTTTGAGCTTTCGTTTACTTGTTCTTAGACCACGCAATTTGTAGTGAAAGCGATATAATGGGCCCTCGTAAATCGTGGCGGGCAGCCGGTCTACATGGTGGCTTGTATACGTGTCACACGTTTTGATTTTCCAATCTTGTATCGAGTGAACAAGCGAGGCCTTCCTGACCCAATGAGCTCGTTAAAGCATGACAACAAAAAACCGCATGGCTTCTCTTCAAACATAGCGCACAGCAACAAATGACGAGCCCTCAAAAAAACCACGCTGCAGCACGCAAACTGTTGTAGGTACCCAGCGAGGTATCCAGGCATGGCGGGAGATAGCGACAACAGCGGAAGTGACATCACATAAACACTATGTATACATGTATAGGAGGTATTCACTGAGCTGATCCTGCCAGGTGGCACAAACGAGTGCGCCGTCATAGTCGTGGTCCACCAGCGATCCGGCGTAAGACTGCCTGATGTTTGGCAGCGCTGCACCTCACTAACACGTTTAAACAAAATATCAACATTATAAGTGCTGCTGAGAATTTTGCTTGTGGTCCAGTGTCGAACCTTTGATCCGAAGCCCACCCGTGCCCCCACCCGCTGGTGCCGCCCTTGGCAGTGGTATAGAATGGCACCTAATATGAATGAGGTGCAGCACGCCATGGCTGAAGCTAGTTTGGAGCACTATGCTCACTGACCCTGAGGCTACAGCATTGTGCATCATTTTAAAGGAACTTAAACAAGCTGAGGATTGTAGTATAATTATTCTCGTTATAATATCGACACCAATTGACAGACTAAATGAATGTGAGACATGGCAACTCAATGGCAGGTAACCATTTCGCATCCGTGACTGACCTCCTTAAATTTGTTCTGGAATGTGGTTGTATGCAGAATGATCGAAATATGCCCAAATCCATCGGAATTTTTTTTTTTTTTTGCCTCCACTCGAATTGGCCTTCTCCTGTAGGAAGGCAGCAACAACTGCTGTCACTTATACTTTAATAAAGTTGTTACTCATAATAAAGTTGTTACTCACTCACTCACTCACTTATACTTTGAAACTACGTTTTCCTTAACGAACAACTGATACCCCGTGGTTCAGGCATGTTTGAAGAACACTGATTTGTGCTCAGTTCCGATCTAAATTTAAGCTTGGGTTCAGTTTGACATCCAGGTACCAAGTAATAATTTTTCAACAGAGCAAATAATGAAAATTTTTATATGTACTACAGCACAATCCAATCTACAATGTAGAAAAAAAAAACGAGGAATGGGGAGGGATAACCAGTTAACGAAAAAAAAAAAAGCAAACCAATCAATAAACACCAAAGCGTACAACACCGTTCCAGACAATTGCTAATGTTTGTGTTCTCTCTTTTCGGACCAATGTGATGATCGTGCGGTAACTCAATGCGCCTCTGCTGCACTGCTGAATGATGAACTTACTCCTAGCGTGCTCATGTTGGCTCTCAAAGAGCACAGTGGAGAGGAGGTCGCATTACCAGTGTATTGACGACCTATCGCGGTTCAGCATTTGACAAGAGCTTCATAGACGCCGTAAGACAGGCTGCACCACGCATGTTGAAGGTGCACTTTGCCCTCCAAGCAAACTGTAGGAAGAGAAACTACGCTCTTCACAATAAGCAATTCATAGCGGCATTTAGTGAGCTCGGGATTCCCCCACTTTAAACCTCTTTAACGGTGAAGCATATCAGTCCCAGCGCAGGCTTTCCTCTCTTCTCCGACAAACACGACTTCGAGCAACGTTGCTTTGGGCCGTGTCGCGCTATTTGCGGAAACGAAGGCTTTCAGGGCTAAAGAAAGGACGGGGGAGCTCGGTGAAGTGTGGCCTACCGGCATTTGCATGCCTTTGGTCACTCCGAGGTTCCAGCTAAACCGCGAGCCTCCCAAAGAAACCGGAGAATCGCATGCCCATCGCTGAACAAAGGACAGATGAGGAGAAACGAAGAAATGCGGCGGAAACGAATAAGCCACATTGGTTGTTGCGGATACTAATATCGCACGCAATTTTTTTTTTTTTTTTTTCGTTAGCGACGTGGTGGACGCTTTGCCCCGCACGGAGCACTGTGGGGGGGAAGCTTGGAGCGCACAAGTTGAAGACAGTGCAAAGAGAACAGTCTTACCCGTGGACTCCATGCTTCCCTAGTGTGTAGAGATGTCTTGAATTAAATAAAGACGGCACGTGCAGGGCCTCCGGGACTACAAAAGAAAAGTTGGATCCGACCCACGGACTTGAATAATCGCAGCAAGCGCCCTCTATGCACAGTTGTTTTCTTAACTAAATGTTTTAACATAATACTAGTAATAAAACTTAGCTCGCGCACCCATCAATAGGAGGTTTACAAAATTGCGAATAGTTTACTAATTATACGGGCCAACTTTTTTTCTGAGCACCTAAGTAACTACGGTCATTTTCAATGTTCGTCATGGAAAGCTTTTTTTTCTCACCGCTCAAAGTTTAGGCGCCCTATGCCTGCATTACTTTTTTTTTCACCATTGCCTCCTACGAACTTCGCCGACGCAGGTTAGGAAAGGCTTGTAGCGCCTCTGGCGTCTCATGATGCAACAATTTTCAGGAAACAGCACAAGCTTGGACATGCCCGTTTGGGTTGGCCTTGCGATTTCCACCATTCACTATCAGTCGTAGTCGGTCCGTGGTCGGCGAACTGCGTCTCTCCCTGCCGTGCTCGTGCTGACACGCGGTTGCGCCGCAAACCCATCGTGCTCCGTTTTCCCGGCATGGCTGTTTAGTCACTGGAGCCGCCCAAGCCTTGCGATCATGGGGAAAACTAAAGGTCTGCGTTTCCGAGAGATCATAAACGAAAATAAACAAAAAGAAAGGCACCGTTGGCTGTCATTGCTACGCGTTTTTACGTTCTAGCTGCGCTCTCATTGAATCGTAACCGTAGCCATTGGTTAGTTGATGTTGCATGCTATCCCGTTTCTCAGGTACGAAGCGCTGGAAGAAGAGGCAAGAACTCGAAGAAAACACGGCCGAGGACCTGTGCGATGACGACGATGGAAACGGAGGTACTGATCGCGAAATTTTTGCTCTCGGCACGGGTGTACTCTTTGTTGATCGCCGCTTCATCAAAGCGTTTTTCGTTGCATCGCTCATCCCCTTCTTACGCGTATTTTATTTGTGCTTGTTTGAAGATGGAGTACCTGCAGCTGCGAGCCAGAAACTCAGCACCGCTTCGGTGGAAGACGAATTCGGGGCCAAGGACTACCGTTCCCAAATGGAACTTAGGCCCGATCACGCATCCCGACCTCTTTGGGTGGTAAGGGGTGGAACATGCTTTCATCCGACTGTAAGCTGTCTCAACAGTTGTGCGTTATTGCTTTGCGGTCGCTTGTTTACGTTGTGTACGTATTCCCACGGCACTTCCGCCCTCGCAATTTGCCTAATTGGTTGCCTTTTGTTTTTATCTCCCGCAGGCTGCTGATGGCCATGTCTTTTAGAGGCCTTTTCACCAGTGTATAAGCATGCGCACGATTTTTTGATAGCTATATCCGAGGTAAGCCGATTCCATGACGTTTGTTTGAGTAGTGATAATTCGGCACCAAAGTTACGCTGGTTACTGCGCTTGCTGCCAGTTTAGATAGCTAAACTTTTCTCCGACTTCCCTAATTACCTGAAAACTAGTGGAACTTAGTTGAGAGAAACTAAATGTGTGCCTAACATGATGGACCACGCAATAGATGTAAGAGTTTGAATTTTCTAACGCTCATAAGCGTAATTAATATGTTTCATAGCTGCAGCAGCCTCTGTCGTCTATCGTGTTTCATGTTACTTTGCACTATAGAAGTCAGTATTTTAAACATTGCCAACCATTTGAAAATTGCTCGAAACACCCGTAACTGGCTTGATTTCAATGGCTTTAAGAAAACAGTTAGAATGAATATTTAAGTTGCATATATGCGACTTGCTAATAAAGAGCATAATTATTGCTAACTATATCGCTAATAGACACAGGTTATGTCGGATCCCATCAGTGAAAAGAGAGATGATGATGCAACTTTGGAAGTTTCCATGCAATGACATCGATTTTGTTGGCATGTGCCACGATTCGAGCATGCTAGTCTGTTGTGGAAAATGCGCATTTATTTTTGTTTTGTCAAAGACCAACTTCTTGATGGAAATACGCAGGACTCGTTTTGAAAAAATGCCGTACTGACTAAATGTTACTCTTAATGGTCCCTTACTGTAGTGCACACACATTGGTCACATTTGCATTTTTCTTATGATTGATGTGCTTTGTGATAGATGATAGATCACCCATGATCAGTGGTTCTGACAACACTTCGCCCTTTCATTACAGCCTGTCTGCCGGCCACAGCACATTCATGAATACAAGCTGACATCCTATTCTTTGTATGCTGCCGTCTCTGTTGGACTTCAGACACAAGACATCATAGAATACTTAAGGAGACTTAGCAAGACTAGCATTCCAGATGGTATCGTGGAGTTTATAAAGGTAAAATATAGCAAGCATTTTCACTTATCGCTGTGTCGAAAAGTGTGAAAGTGGGGTCATCTTTAATTTTTACGAGTGCATGTTTCTTTCAGCTTTGCACTGTCAGCTATGGTAAAGTGAAACTTGTCTTGAAGCACAATCGATACTTTGTGGAAAGTCCTTTCCCGGTAAGGATTCATTTGTTTGCTCATCTCCTGTAGGTTTTGGCTTGTTCGCTTGGCTCTAACCAGTACGTGAATGATCGTTTCAGGATGTACTCCAGAAGCTTCTCAAAGATTCCGTCATACAGTCATGTCGCCTGAGGCGAGATGCAGAAAATGACACAGATCTGAGTGTTGTCACGAGGGATATTCTTAATGCCACACTTGTAAGTTGACAATATTGCTTTGTGCCTGCCATGTAGGAAAAAGTCCGTGTAAACACATAATTTTAACATGAGTCGCATAAAAGACATAAGTGTACACATTTTATCTGGGCAGTGGGTACTAAATAGATAAAAGGACGCACATTGGAGCATGTGTACAGGTTGCACTGTTTTATGTTTTTAGCCACTCAAAACTAGCACCACTGAGGACAAGGGTGATGACAAAAGTCAAGCTGCCAACGTTCCTGAAGACATTACTGCCTTTTACGAGAAAATGGAAAAAGATGAAGATGACATAGAGGACTCTGAAACTGTGTCATTTGAAGTCAGCCAAGACCACATTGAAAAGTTACAGAAGAGGTACGCATCTGATTGTGTTGTAGGGCCCACAAGGTTCAGGCTGAGTGTGGGTCTGTGTGTGTGTATGTATTGTGCGGTCCTGGTGACAGTATCCCTTTTTCTAAACAAATGTGAATTGTGCTTCCATAAGATGACCTTGTAGATGAATGTTAAGTGTACATATGTAGAAGTGATTGTTTCTGAGAGTTTCTTTCTCTCTTTTACTTGTTTGATGGGACATGGGAATGGATCTACTATAGCCAGAAACATGGCGTTAAGCCCATATAGATGTTTCTTCTTTTTATGTGTGTACTCAAGACCAGCTTTATTGTTATCTTTCTGTAATCTCTCTCTTTTTCTCTGGCCTGGCTTAAAACTAGCTGTATAAACAAAACTCATTATACCTGATACAACTGGAGTGGCTCATTATATATGCCAATAGGCATAGTTTGTTAAGCTTATGACTTTCAGAAATTGATTGTGTTAAATCGTACTAGACAGAAGACGCACAGGACAGATGACTCTATCCATTTCTGAAAGTTATGCACCAACTAGCCCAGCAGTGCATTTTGTTAAGCAACGATTGACTTCACCTGTAATGGTGGTTCACTGGTTGTGGAGCTTGGTTCTTGGCATGAAGATTGCAGATCGAGTTGTGGGCTGCATTGCAATTGATTTGAGGTGCGAAACATCAATACATAAAGATCTAGATGCACATTGGTGCACGAAAGATGGCTTAAATTGAACCAGAGCATCTCTCGATTCTTTCTGAAAGATTGCATGCAAACACGGACACAAGGATGGCAGTGTCGATACTGATGTTGGTGTTTTTTTAAACACGATTCTAGTAATTTGTATTGAACTAATAATCATGTACAGAGGGTCCTAGTGCGGTTTTGTGACCACGGGACACTTTTCTTTATATTTTTAATAAGATAACCATATTATGCAAAATAAAGGTTTCATTTGAGTTGATTTGGAAAAAAAAACACTGCATTTCAAGCTGCTTGAAAATAATTATGGGGCAAAGCATTCGGATGTGCTTATTGTGATTAAATTTGAGATAGTACTGAGACTGATTGTGGTTGTGATACTTATATATTTTTTTTATTCAAAGAGATAGTTCTGAGACCGATTGTGATATAGCGGTGATTCTTCTTTATAGCTGATATGAGGTTCCGAATTCCGGCTTACATTTTGACTTTATAATCACAGTTTTATTAGCTATCGTCTCTGGGGTAGAGTTTTCTTGTTGGTATTGCCGCCTTGCATCCGCTTCAAGTTGTCTCAACTGCGCGTCAGCTTGGCGTTTTTCCCGCTTGGCCTTTGCTTCCTTAGCCCTAGTCTGTGGTGTAAAACTTTGTTGTCGCCGTCGCCGCTTTGCATCCGCTTCCTTCTCTTCTGTCTCCACGGTAGCTTCTCGTCAACGGTGACGCTGATACTCAGCACATCACACTTTCCTGCGTTCGTCTTCGACCATATGAGAGAAGAGAATGTGTGGTATGGAACGTGGTTATATATATATAGCGTTGACAGCAGCGCCATCACATCTACAATTAACCATAGTGCCCTCTGTTGTTTAAAGTTGAAGGTTACATGGTGTTACGGACAGACGGGAGACGGCGGACATCGTAAGGTCTTGAGGAGCTTCGCCACTAAAAAAAGAATTTTATGCAAGGGACAAAGGTGGCCCTTCTTTTTGTTGTTGCTGGTACATTCTAGACAGATAAGTTCTGGCACTTGTTTTTTTTCCTGCAGGTGCATAGAACTTGAGTACCCTTTGTTGGCCGAGTATGACTTCAAGAACGACACTGTCAATCCAGACATCCAGTAATAAAATTTTGTTTTGCCACAATAATTTACTTCCTCTTAACAAAAAACGCACCTCTGAGCAAAGCACTTTATTCGCTTACAGCGTTGACCTGAAGCCATCTGCCATACTCCGACCATATCAGGAAAAGAGCTTGAGAAAGATGTTTGGAAATGGACGTGGAAGATCAGGGGTCATCGTCCTTCCATGCGGTAGGCTGTTACAAGTTCTCTTTTGTGTGATTGTTGTGACTATTCTCACATTCAAAATCTTGAATGTTATGCACTTGTTCACTCTAATGTTCACATTTTAGATCCGAACCTTAATTCCTGTGCCCCGCCGCTGTGGTCTAGTGGCTAAGGTACTCGGCGGCCCACACGCAGGTTTAAGGATCGAATCTTGGCTGTGGCGGCTGCATTTTCGATGAAGGCGAAAATGCTGTAGGCTCGTGTGCTCAGATTTGGATTCATATTAAAGCACCCCAAGTGGCCAAAATTTCCGCAGTCCTCCACTACTCTCTCTCATAATCATATGATGGTTTTGGGATGTTAAACCGCACCTATAAAAACCTTAATTCCAGTGCCTGTGGCTATGCTGACTGCTATTACTTTATTAATTGATTTTTCCTATGTATAATTTTCTTTTGTCACCATCTACATAATAGGGCTACTAGTAATATAGTATGTAATTCACTATGTAGAAAATAAGTACTACATAGTTAAGGGCTGCTGTTCACAAAGATAACTGTACAGAAAATTTATTAATTCATGTATTGCGTAAATTAGAATAAACATGCACAGTTCTATGATAAAATTTACATTTTTTACCTCATAGGATAGCATTATAACATGCATCCAGCCAGGACATTCTACATTTTAGGAGGTTTACCTTACATTATTCTTCTGTCATGCTGTTTCAAGCTGACAAATTGCTCTTGAGATGAAGCACTGTCATATAATGATCCTTTTGGACAAATCTAATTTGTTGATGTATTTTCTTTAATGTGCCATTGACAGAACTCGTCTACTGAGGGCCGCAATTGTGTTGCAGTCGTTTTGTCATTGAAATGTTTGATCTGGACTACTAAATGGTGCATGTGACTCGGAAAACAGATTTTCAGGCAAGGAAGTTTGTAGAAACAACAAGTCTGGCAGATACGAGTTTTAAAAATAGTGTGTACCTGGAGTAAGGCAGTTGACAGTATCATTGGACATCATTTCGGTTGTTTATTCATCTGTCTTACGTTTCGTAAACGCTAGTGAACGACTGGTCCTTGAAAGCCGTTGTAAGTGATTTCCTTTCTTCGCAGTGCCAGGATTGATCTGTCGTGCGATGGACAACAAAAACATGCTTGACTTCAGTATGACGAGACGTCAAGCTTTGAAGGGGTTGTTTGTTTTTGTATGCCTAAGTGCAATTTCTAAATAAGGGTGAAAAAAAAAAGATGCTATAAGAGGCAACAAATGATTGTAAATGAACTGCTGAAATGTATTGTAGTAATGAAAGGCATCTTATAACACATTGATCGCGTGGTAAATTCTGAGTTTTTTTATAATACACTCAAACCTCATTATGACAAAATTGCATCTTTCACAAAAATAAGTTCGCTAAATCTATTGCAAGGCTATTTTTTATTTACTTTGTTATAACCAATATTTCGTTATATCTGAATTAGTTATATCGAGAGTCCAGTGTAAAGGAAAAGGTGTGGTACTGGAGGGGCCGATGAAAGTTCTGTTTGGTCTATGGAAGGAGCTTGTACTCATGCCAATTGCCAATACTGTGTGCAGGTGCTGGAAAATCGCTGGTGGGAGTCACTGCCTGCTGCACTGTGCGCAAGCGATGTCTCGTGCTGTGCAACTCTGGTGTCTCTGTGGAACAGTGGAAAGCACAGGTAAACGCATCACTGAAGCGGCTTTGCTTGCAGCGATTGCTGGCGATTGCTACTTGCACCATTTGGTGGTTTTGGCTGGTTTTCCATCAGACTAGTCCACGCACTTGTGAAGCGTTTTGGTGATTCTACTTTTTCTTGTTGCAGTTCAAGATGTGGTCGACAGCAGACGACAGCGTCATATGCAGATTTACGTCAGAGGCCAAGGACAAACCTATGGGTGAGTAAAAGACAAGGTGCTCACATTGGCTGGACGGAATCTCAAGAAAAGCGGTGAGGCACAGCACACCTTCGTGCAGATGCCGTGGTGTGTGCTGTGGTGTTACTTAATCAAGCTCAGCTCGAATTTCTTATCGGGTGCATGTGTTTATTACAAGTTGCACTGAATTGAGCTTTATGTCATTGTTTGGTACAGATCTTCTGTTAAAATAAGCACACTGGCTGCCTTGTCCTTGAAGAACAATTATATTATTATTATTATTATTATTATTATTATTATTTCTGGGCAACATTTTAAGAAGTAGGTACTAGTAGCAAGCATGTTAACTTCAATTCAAATAGGCTCTACAGTATCGTATGTGTACTTCTAAGGGACCATGGTCTCAAAAATTACTTTAAATTCTTGATCGATTTTGATGAAACTTATGGCGAATTTCACTGGTAGATCCGGAGCGGTCGCCGAAATCCTGGAGCGAGCACTCAGATTGCGCCAAGCCAGATCAGCGAGTGAAACACGTGAGGTCGCCTGTGGTGGCGCCGGAAGTTGTTTGCACAAACGTCACTAAGCCTGTACGGAAACTACCTCGACATAGCCGATTACCTTCCGAGACTTCGGCCGTGCACATGGTGGGAAAGCACGTACGGCTCGTCGCCCTTGCTGCTGTTGCTGCTAGCAGAACTATAGTTCTCTCGCTGTCACTCAAAGCGAGAAGCAAACCAGTAGCAGCACGTCCAGCAGCATCAAACAATGCCATCTTAGAAATGTAAACAAGTGCACAGGGCACTGCCTGAAAAAAAAAAAAAAAGCTCAAGGCAGCTGAAAGCAACAGCGCTGCCCGACTGTACCGGAAATGACAGCAATGCATTCTCGTAGTTTTGAGGAAATCCGTCTCTGCAAGACTGAGCACGCGGAATGCTCCGTCGCAGAGTCCGTTGCTTAGAATCTGCCAGTGGAAAACGCGAACTTGTTCCGAATCTACCAGCGGAATGCAGATTCACAGCCGTGAAGCAAGAAAACTTGCTCCCGCTCGACGAGTGAAATTCGCCATAAGTTTATGTGTTATTGTGTGCTTGCTTTAAGTACACAATATTTGGTAGTACAATGTGGGGTTTTTAAATATCAGACATTTTATACACCGTTTTGGGAGTGAGGCTTGCTAAACTAAAGTAAAATAAGAATGGATGTTACAAACCGCATTTCAACACACGTTATGGCACGACAAACATTCACAAGTGAGTCGATGTGAAGCCAGGATTTCGCTCATCAATGTTCAACATTCCATCACTTTTGTTGAGACCAGTTTAGAACATCTGTTTCTGTTTTGCTGCTTTTTGTTTCTGCTACAAATATATGAAATGCAGCACTGCTGTGAAACCTCGCCTCAAAAGAAGGTTTCAGCTGTTGAGTTGACTTATTCTTAGCGTTACTTCCTTTTTTATTCTGTAGCACTGTGCAGTACACTACATTTGTTCTGCCAAATGTCATTTGCTATGGCTGACTCAGTTTTTCTTTTTTTTTCTGTGTGTGGGATATTAGTCATAGTAAATTAATTGTTCCCTGGCATGTTCGCTCGGGTCGTACTCATTACACCACCTGTCTCCGTACGCGCATCTTTGACACCTGCACATTCACAGTAAAATGTCCACTATACAAGGGGAGGCGCAAAGGCCACTTAATTTTTTTTCTCTTCTCGTTACAGATATGCATTTACGGTTTTGGTGCAGCTGTAACTAAGAAAATCTCGTGCCCGTCTTAATATCACGGAGGCGAAGGAAAATTCTGGTAAAGAAAGCAAGTTGTATTCGAGTAACTTTCTTGCAGTTGTGGAAAAATAACAATTGGGCGTTAATTACATTCCGTCATAGCTCTCGTTGGGAGAATAGCGGCACATTTAAGTAGAAAACTCGAGTGCATTTAGCCAACTGCTTCTTGTCAGAACTCCTATAGGTGGCTTAAGTGTCTTGTGCTAGATGTTATGGTATTGACGATGCACAAAGGAAAATGTCGCCCTTGTTCGGTGCCCACTGGCACACTTATGACCTAAATAAGGGAAGTCATAGACTAGTGCTGAGACACATGCTCAATCAGCTTGTTGAGGAGACCAATTCTGCAGGCGAGAATGCTGCGTAGAAACTGAAAACGACATGTAAATGTGTATTTTTTCTGCCTAGCATTCCTCTGTTGTCTTGTGACTGGATAGTGAGGAAACCCTCACCTTCAGTTCCACTGTTGGTCACATAACATTGCTGAATCTGACGATATTAGTGCAAGTTTCTGTAGATGAGAGGATACAGACTTTTACATTTAGCTGCTACGTGGTAGATTTGAAACCACATCTCAGCACTCTGACTGTCTACTTGCTGAAGTTAAATGCTTTGAGTAAGTAATAGAGTGGTTTACGTTTAGCTATTATGTTGGAATAAAAATGGGCTTGTACAGACCTTTTGCCACTCTCAGTTTTGGCAGTATCATAAAAGAACTGAAAACTTGTTTCTCCCCCCCCTTTTTTTAGGGGCGAAGCTCCTTAGGGCGTGCGCTGTGCGTCCCCTGTAGCCTGTATGTAGCCACCTCTAGTTTAGTTCTTGCAGTGTTCACTAGATGGCGGTACCGTCCCCTGTATGTAGCCACCTCTAGTTTAGTTCTTGCAGTGTTCACTAGATGGCGGTACCGTCTCCTGTATGTAGCCACCTCTCGTTTAGTTCTTGTAGTGTTTACTAGATGGTGGTACTTGTAGCTGATGAGGAAAAGATGCAAGATGTTATAAACTAGAAAGCGGTACTTTTAGTTGATGAAAGACGCGAGATCTTATAAAATAGGAATGATGTCACACATGGCGCGTGTCATTGGTTGAAGGCAATCGTTCGATTAAGTGCGGCGACGTGCGCTAGGGGGAGCGATGTAATAAAATCGAGTGGGCAAAATGTACAGAGGATTCATGGTTTACCAGGTTTACTCATCATCATTCACTTCGTGGATATGGCGGAATTTTTTTTTTCTCTGCCTCCTGTGGTAGTTCAGCTTTTCAGTGCACCAAAAACTCCCCCTTGACAATCTTGCGTCGCAGTGCTCGTTTTTGTCTCATCGGTATATGAATGCACCACAGTGTCACCTAAGCGACCTTGAGAGAACTGGATGATGTGGTGTCAAGGGATGATTGGCCCAATAAAGAATGTAGATATTTAAAGAAATTTTCTGTAAACATTTACTCATGAATGCTATACAAGGACAAGTCATCCAAGTTTTTAAAGTATTAGGAGCTTTAAGTTCCCTGTGCGATTGTGTAAAATTAGGCTTTTCTACCTCCCTTTGTGTGCTGGGCTATTAAAGTCACATTTGACATGCTTAAAACCGTCAGTTACCAGCTGAGCCATGTTCCACGAACACTAAGAGGTGTATCTTCATTTTACTTCACTTTGAAAGTTTGTTTTATTTTCTGTACGTTGAAAAAGCAAAGCAAGAGCAAAAGGCTATGTGACTTGACATAGGCTTTTTCTCTGTAATACAGTAAACACTATAAATGTTAAAAAGGAACAGAACAGTATGCAGTAAAATACCGTTATAGCGAAATATCAATATCTCAATATGTAGAATCTGTGTTCTTGACCTCATCTATTTCTTAGATTCTGTCACAATTTGCTACTTACTGCTGAGAATTCTTCTTATATGTTGAGGCACACTGAAGCATTAATAAGCTTGTCGCACCACAGCTTAGGACTGATTTTGCCTGATGTTGAACGGCTTTAGCAGGTACAGAATGCTGTAAGTTGTGTCTCTGTGTCTGTCAGGAATGTTTATGTGTCTGCAGTATTTGATACTAATAAGTTTATGGTTGTTTTCAATGTGACATTGACATTGTTTCATTAGCTTGTACATTTACATATTAGCAAACTTTGTGTAGGTACTCCAACCATATATATGTTTTACGTTTGACTGAAATTCAGCTATTGGTAAGAAAATAGAAAGTGAAAATTAACTTGGCACAGGTGTATGTGATACTGGGATTGATGCAGTACACATATGGCGCTGACAAACTCATTTTTGATTAGCAAGTGTCAGCATTGTGACTCTCAGCTGCTGTGAAATTGAAAAAAAAGTTACAATTATAGAATTCACTGACATTTTATTAAATGGGTGAGCTACATTTGTAGCTGCTGTTATAACACTTCGTTGTGGTAAGGTGGTAGTATGTATGATTACTCGAATTGTCTTTGCTTCTGCAGGCTGCGGTATCTGCATCACAACGTATTCCATGATCACGCACACACAGAGACGTTCCTGGGAGGCCGAGCAGGTCATGGCTTGGCTGAAAGAGCAGGAATGGGGTCTCATGCTGCTCGATGGCAAGTATTGGAATAGTTCAACTCTCTATTCGTTGCCCATAGTCGTCCGCATGAGCTTCAGTGACCGTATTCGTAGTGCCACGATATAGCGTTATTGCATGTGTGAGCTGTAAAGATGACCCAGATTTATATGTCTGTGTGTTCACACATTTTTGCTAGACACATGTTAGGAAAGGTTGATAGATTGAGCACGTCACTCTTGCTCGATGTGCAAAGAGCCCCCTTAGCAATATGGAAAGTTTCTTGCCCGCATGTCACATACCTGAAGAAAAAGCTCATTGGCATTGAGAATGTATTCAAGTTCGTCGCCGGAAAATCATGGGGCCCATCCATGCACTCCATGTTGCAGCTTTATACAGCCCTCTTTCTCGGAATTTTCCGGTACAGCCTTCCTGTCCTGTCCAACACGTGCAAGACTAACATCCGTGCACTACAAAGCGTACAAGCCCAAGCACTTTGGACATGTCTTGGCCTTCCAAGATGCTCATCGACAGTAACAACTATTGTTATCGCACAAGAACAGCCGGTCACAACGCACATCATTGTCGAGACGCTGAGAACGCACATTCGGAATTTATCACGGCTACCGTCACGTCATTTAGCGTGTTTGACAGCGCGGAGGCCCCGTTCTTCGTTCAGCGGTATTGTGACAAAAGATCAGGACATATTACCGCCTGGCTTCAAACCTGTCATGCATCCAGCAGCTGCGTTATGGAGTCTTTGTCAACCTGACGTGCGCTTATCAGTTCCTGGAATCGTTAAGAAGGCACGCATGTCACCACTAGCCCTGAAGCGATTGACTTTGCGTCTGTTGGACGAAAGGTGCTTCGACCGCATACATGTTCTACACCGATGGCTCCACTAATTCCAACAGCTCTACAGGAGCAGTGATTGTTCCATCTGGTAATGTGTTTCTCCAATACAAGTTTTCTCACACCACGACATCGACAGCAGCAGAGCTCGCAGCGCTTCAAGGGGCAGTAAAGTACATTCTTCGGCAGCAACCTAATTATTGGGCCATCTTTTGCGACTCGAGGTCAGCCTTACAGACACTACGGTTTGTAATGCAGCACGGGTTACACGAACAATCAGTATATAAGATAAGGCACGACCACCACGAAGCGCTCAAGGAAGGTCACAATATTGTATTTCAGTGGTTGCCGAGTCATTGCGGAATTGTCAGCAATGATCGCCCGGATGAAGCTGCTCAATCAGCTCATGACCAAGACCTGCGTATGCCCATACCACTTTTGAACGGACGCTGCAAGGCGACTACAATCACTTTCTTGCCGTATAACTCTCCTACAATGGATTATGCCGGGTTTCTCCAACACGCACCTGTATTCGATCGACCCAAACTTGCAACTTCGTTTGCCATCCGGGCTTTCACAATGCGCTGAAACTTTACTGTGTCGCATGAGGTTAGGCATGGCATTTACGAATGCGTACTCTCGTCTCCTTAGAATGGCGAGCACTTCGGCATGCAACATCTGCGCATGCGAGGAAACGCTTGAGCACATTCTATGCCATTGCCCAGCATACCCGTCTGAACGACGTATTATTGAAGCCAAGCAGCTGCTGGATTCACGGCTGCTTACAGTAAAGAAAATCCTGGGAACTCGGCCGACGGTTTCCCATATGCGCAAAGCCACGAAAGCCCTCTTGTACTTAAGGACCACCAGACTTCAAGACCACTTGTGAAAGAACAGTGTGAGACCGCGCTGTGTAGTCTCGAGCTGACTATTCATCCTTCTCTTTCTTACTCCTCTTCTTTTCTATCTCTTTCTTTTCTATTATTCCCCCTTTCCCCCACCCCAAGTGTAGGGTAGCCAACCTTGGTTAACCTCCCTGCCTTTCTTCTCTATTTATCTCTCTCTCTTCTTGACAAGGAAGCACCTTAGGCATATAAAAGGCGTAAACAGCAAAAGGCTACCGTAGTTGATGTGGTTTGCTTCAGTGTGTATTCTTTCCCATTGGGTACATTTGTGACTATGTTTTTAACCATTAAATGACTAACTCATGTGCCTGTACTCTATAACTACAAAGAATAAGTTTTCTTAGATATTGTAACAGTCGAGTTCCTTTTGCATCATTGGATGCATTGTTACTGTACTTTAATGAACCAGTGTTTAAGTCTCACATAACTTTTCCACTGTATAAAAAGAGGAAAAGAGCAGGTCATGCAACATGTTTGCAACCCTGAATAGCGGTGAGAATGCATCTTACAAAGTTGTTTTATTTATTTATTTTACCTACTCACTCGCTTATTCAATTGTATCTCGTGCCAGTATAAGCACACATAAATCTTGATATTATTACCTCAGATATAATGAAATACCGGTTATAACAAAGTAAATTAAAAAAGTTTTGCATTGGATATAGTGTTAGGAATAAATCTGTATAACAAATTTTTCGATAGAACGAACTTATTTTCGTGCAAGATGTCACTTTGTTGTAATGAGGTTTGCGTGTATTTTAGATTTCTAGTGTGTCAGTGTGTTGTCGTTTCTGTTTTTGAGTCTGATCTCTCGAGTTGCTGCAATAGCATACCATAACTCTTTTCATGTGCATGGTACAGTACAGCACTTTTTGTCTGAACCTGTAGTTCTTAGACGTCGTAAACTTCAGTGTGGTGTTTATTGTGTCATCTTTATCTTCGCAGAGGTACATACCATTCCAGCCAAGATGTTCAGGCGGGTGTTGACAATAGTACAGGCACACTGCAAGCTAGGTCTAACGGCCACTTTGGTTCGAGAAGATGACAAGATCCAGGACCTGAACTTTCTAATAGGGCCAAAGCTGTACGAGGCGAATTGGCTGGAGCTTCAGAACAATGGTTACATTGCCAAGGTGCAGTGTGCCGAGGTGAGGGATTGGCACTTTTAACTGGCTGCCATTTGGCTGAGAAGAGCTAGAGTTAAATGAATTTTCGTCTGATCCGTAGGTGTCATGCAAGGTTCACAGAAGTTCTCGTAACCACTCAGTACAACTGAATTCCAAAGCCGCTTCGTGTCCTTGAAAGTTGTTTAAAAACCTAGTGTTTGAATATTCGCATGCGAGTTCATGTCAAACTGGGAATTCAGTCTTAAATGCCCAATATAGTACTGTAACTTTTGCTCAAGTAGGTTTGGAAATTATATTCTTTTTGCATGCACTTCTCATTTCAGACTATTCTGATATGCAGATTTATTTTGTTATTCTTCCTTTTATAAAAATGTTGCTCACAAAAAGCATAATATATATGATACTTTAAAGGCTTCTAGTGAAATATTAATTGCTTATTTGAAAGAAACACACGAGCATGCACACACTCCGCAAGTTTAATCTAAACCAGTCAACAATTAGAGAAAGGCAGTTTTAGCATGCAGTTCCATTGAAGTTCACTTTATCCAAGGGTCTGCTATGAACCCTGTCATGCAGTCACCGAGGTTTCTGTGACTGTGGCATCAGGGGAAAAGGTGGGAGTGGTACTATTAACTGGCCCTGTGGGTGCGTCTTCCTTCATATAGACTTTCTAAATTCAAATGTGCATCCTATGGTGACACCAATCAGCCTTGAATGTGCCCTATTCATTGGGTATCAACATTGCTCTATTCTAGGTATGGTGCCCAATGACACCAGAGTTCTATAGGGAGTATCTGCAAGCTAGAGCATGCAAGAAGTTGGTGAGTATACAATTGCTGAAATTTTTTTTTAATGTAAGGTGCACACATATTAGGCATTCAATCCATGGTGATTAGGACCTGTGATGAGGCTTCTTGAATCCCTTATTTTTTGCCGATTTATTTTCTCGCTTGGTTCACAAACATTTACCTTGTAATCTACAATTTTCATTTCTTGATCGAGTTGTTTCTGTTCTTTAATGTCATCACAGCTTTCATTATAAATGTTCACGTCAGAAAAAAGTTGAGTGTCAACCAAGGAATGTTTCCATGAGCTGTATAGCAGAAAATACTGTCGAGCCCACATGTGGTAGCCCCTCTCAAAATGAACTTTCACTTAAAACGAACGGTACTCGCTTTACCGTGGAAATATACACTTTAATGGTACAAGATCGCACTTGCAACGCTGATCGTTTACAGCGAATGGAGTCGCTGCTTCGGTGACTTTCCAGGAAACCACTTCCAACCACCGATAAGCCATAGGGAACTGCCCATAGATTCTTAAAGTTAAACGCAGACATTGTCTCCGCACCCCTCTAGTTGTCACTCTTTCCCACCGTTTTCTTGCTACGCACCCAAAGGTCCTTTGTCTCCAGGATACAGTGAACGGATGTTGCATGACGCTCAGGTTTATTATGAGCGGGCTCATACTATTCACATCTTCAATGAGCATGGTACGATGAACACAAATGCAGAAGCGGTGTCAAAGCCAGCAAAACTGCATCACACAAGATCAGAAACTGCTAGGAGAATACATAAATTTCCCAATTTAAGAAAGCGAATTGTGCTTGTCTCACCCTTTTTCTTTCTAATTCCGACATAGTGGCTTGTCACAGTTCTTGTTTAAAAATCTTGTAACAATACTTGTACTAGATGCTTAATTTTTAACCTGCACAAATTGAGTGCTTGTTAGGTGTGACACATTAGTGTCAAGAGAAAAAAGGTATGTTCTCTACATTACCTTTCGTGTGTGCAACTTTTTCAGTTGTTGTTCGTCATGAACCCAAACAAGTTCAGGGCCTGCCAGTTTCTCATAAAATACCACGAGAGGCGAAGTGACAAGATCATAGTGTTCTCCGACAACGTCTTTTCCCTGAAGCACTATGCCATCAAGATGAACAGGTGAGTTTGTTTGCAGGGTGATGCCATTTAATCTCAGCACACTATTCAAGCTTGCAAGGTAAAGCGGTCGTTGCACTTTTCCATCTAGCTGAATGATGAAGTGAGGCTTTTGCCCTGGACCTCTGTTTTCTTCCTTCAGGCCTTACATCTACGGTCCCACATCCCAGCAAGAGCGAATGCAGATCCTGCAGAACTTCAAGTACAATCCGAAAGTGAACACCATCTTTGTGTCCAAGGTGGCCGACACCTCCTTTGATTTGCCCGAGGCAAATGTCCTCATTCAAGTTTCTGCTCACGGGGGCTCCAGGAGGCAGGAGGCTCAGCGTTTGGGTCGTATCCTCAGGGCCAAAAAAGGTGCGTCTTGTTCTTGACACTGGCTCTTCATGAGGGTGCAAATGGTTTGAAACTTTCCCCACCAATAGAGTTTGTTACTGAAATATTTACAACAAAGTAATGTAGCTTTGCACCCTCATGAGAGTCATGCATAATGCTTGGATTATGCTATGATTTGGCATCGATTTATTGACAGAATAAACTGAATCATCCTTTGTGGTTTTTCGTGGTTCAGTAACACCGAGTATTACGGTAGTTGCAGAACATTTCTTCAAAAATTGTGGTGCGCAAGTTGACGGCTACCTCTTTCTAGTACATGCAATAGACTGCTGTTAAATGATACCTGAAGGAAAATGTTTTGTTTAACAGGAGTTGGGTTTACTGAGAAATAGACAAGGGTGCAGAATTCTAGTAAGACACCGATCATATTAGGGCCAGTTCCATTATCACAACACTTCTGATCGTGTGTCCCTGTAGGTCTAGATGGCTTTTGGGCAGTGATACTCACCATCAGTAACATTTCAGAAATTTTCAAGTTTTGTTTTTTTTTTTTTCATTTGTAAAGGCTATTGCAAAAGCTTGCAGTAAGGTACCTAATAACACTTTAGAACATGTAACAGCTGTGTGCTTTGTGTTTGCATGCAGGTGCTGTGGCTGAGGAGTACAATGCCTTCTTCTATTCCCTGGTGTCTGAAGACACTATGGAGATGCATTATTCGCGAAAGAGACAACGTTTCTTGGTGAATCAAGGCTACAGCTACAAGGTCATTACCAAGATGGAAGGCATGGATGAGGTGGGTTCCAGGCCAATCTCCCACTGGGTTCTCGTATATAGAAATACAATGGTATCGCTGGATTTTCCAGCTGACATTGTGTCTGTTGTGAGTGCCACATGACTGGTTACTGAAGCCTTTCGCCATCCTATTTGATTGCAGGTCAGCGTTGTCACTGCTGCTAAGTTGATAGGTATCTCGCATTTATGAACTAGCGCTCCCACATACAGTATTTTTGCAGCCCATACGGTTTTATAAAGTCGGTTCTCTGCAATGCAGAGGTGTTGCGTGGTCAAGCTTATGCAGAGTGTTGTGAAACAAATCGATTCCAAAAAGGAGCCACTGTAATGAGACATAGTAAGTGCGTTTCAAAGGGCTCCAGTCCACGCCCTACATTTTCATGCATGTTTCAAACAAATTCACAAACATGTGCATTGTGTTCAGAATGCCATCACCATCAGTTGGGCATGTTAAAGTGCCACTCTGTGAGCTCCTCTGGTGACTCCACTCACTCATTGTGATGTCAGCTTGGTGTGCCTGGTGATGCCACCAGATGCACCAAGTTGCTGAATTGCTGCCATGTTATGCGACTAGCACTGAACATGTTCATTGGTCGAACGAGTACTTGTGACTTCTGGTTTATTTGCTAGCTGGTCTCCATGTAATGACTCGCATTCTCTAAAAAGCTGGACATGTTCAAACATTCAAGTGATATTGCATAAAAAAAAGTGTGTGCACGTGTGTGTGTGTGTGGGGCGGGGGGGGGCTGGAAGTTCATAGAGAACAGAACTGACATAGCACTGGTTCTCGAGCTTTCTCTCTTGCTATGAGTAATTTTTAAGATGTCGTAAACACCTATAACAGTCACTAAAATGAAGTTCAGGGCCTTTCTGGTGCATTGGCTCCTCTGGCAACACCCAACTGCCAGCATATGGGCATACTACATTGATCACATCATTTGCTTTGAAATAAAGCAGATGCCCATTGTTGATTGTTCTAGTACTGATGTCCTTCTGTTCCCATAGGAGGAGCTTGCATACCGCACGAAGGAAGAGCAGACGAGCCTGCTGCAGCAGGTGCTGGCTGCCAATGATGCTGATGCAGAGGAGGAACGAGTTGCTGGCGAAACTGGACCAACTGGCCACCGTATCCAGGTTGGGCTTTCTTTCAGAGTCACGGCTTGTTTTTGTGTGTGGCGTGTATATACGAATGGAAGTGCAACAGCAAAATTAAAGGGTCACTGAAACAAAAACTAACTATTTACGTCAGAGTGAAAGGTCAATGCTTGGAAAACGCCAAAATTGTCAATGTAATGGGAGCAGCGCTTGAGTAATCAAGGTTAATGAAGTTGACAAGTTGCGCCACCAGCGAGACATAATGGTACTTGCCTGACAACGTTTTAGGCCCTCAGTACAATTAATCCCTAATGCTCGAACATTGCAGTGCATTACAGGATGGAATCAAATGCAGCTCTGTGCATTTCTGTTTGATTTATGACAGTGAGGCATGTGGTCCGGAAGTTCAGTTCTCACTGGGCTGTGCTCCACTGGTGTGGCCGTGTCTCAGTGATAATTTTTTTATGGCGTACTACTGCACATGCTTTGCTCGCTTGCAAAGCTCTAACTACAGATTCGACAAAATGTCCCGCCTGTACGATGTTGACGGTCGCAGTACTGCTGTAGGCACAAGGTGCTACAGCGCGAACTCTTTTGCATTAAAGGGTGGGCATTGCAAATTCTGTCACAAGCCCCTCTTCATTGGTGGGCACCAACTCTATATGAATGGCTAAATTCGATTGATTTTCTCGTAAGCTAAGCATTTCCTTGCCATGGAACAAGTACTGATGAGGTTTTAGAAGCATTTGCCTCTGCATCCTTCTGTTGTCAGCAACTGTATGATAAGTGTGCACATGTGCTCGGAAGTGGGCAAAATCGGATTCAATTTCTCTAAAAATGCTGTCACCTGCAGTTTATTGCACTTGTGAGAAGAAATAATGCCCACATTGATATGCATTGCACCCATTTTAAGACTCATCACAAAAATTTTGGTGAGATAGTCATGCTTCTACCCTGGAAAAGACTACACTTGCACATGTTCGCACATGTGCTCACCTTATAGTACCATCGTTAAGACACTGTCTTTTCTGACAGCACGTGTTGGCATCACTTTATAAATTTATATACAGTGGAACCTCTTCATAAGAGGCATGCTCTGGGGAGCAATTCTTGTCTTTTATATGAGATGTCTCTTACAATCTGGGTACCACGTATGCATTTTCTTGTCAACCCGTATTTTACTGGTGTTTCTCGTACCCATTTATCTCTTGTATCAGTGTCTCTTATAAAGGGGTTTGACTGTATATTTATTATGTGTTGTGTGTTAATATTCACTTGTGTGTGCCCATAACCCTTCTGTCGTCATTGCATGCAGGTGCCAATGGGGGGAGTTTTAATGAGCTCTTTACGAAAATATAGGATGCAGTCAATTCATCAGTACTAGTTAGTTATGTTTATCTTACATGCCCCGCTTGGTACTAAAGACAATTTTTTTTTTATTTCTTGTTTTCATTCCAGATATCGAGGAGGGCTGGAAACATGAGCTCAATGTCTGGTGCAGACAGTGCAGTGTACCTCGAGTACAAAACCGATAAGAAAAAGGACATGGGCCTGAGGCATCCGCTGTTCAAGCGTTTCAGGAAAACTTAGTCTCGCATAGGTACGCGGCAAGACGTGCTGCTTGTCAGCACCTATTAAACACATGCAGGCGCAGGTTCCAGGTGCCAATGCAGGTTATCTTGCTGAAAAGTCATGCACATTGCATTGTTTATTTAGTTTTTGCTGGCATCTCCCTCGATGCATTTTGTCCCTGTGAACGAATATCCTCCATTTATGTATATTATGTCGGTAGCACGGAGGTTTCCTCGGTGCACAAAGGTCATATTAAAGCACTTCATACTTTTCACATCTTTAAGAGCCGGATATATATTATATACTTTTGATAAACGTAATAGATTACAAGTAGTCGTTCTTTATTTGATAATTATCCAAGTTAATCAAAACTGTTTTGATGTAAAATGCAAATGAGGCACATAGTAAGTAATTGCTGTTCAATAGTGTTAGGTGCACAAAAAAAAGTATTTTAGACACGCATTACCAATGAGTGCATAGTGATTTTGCAGTGTGTAAAACATATCAAGTGGAATGCGCAAGATGTCATCACACATTCGTATACTGTTATATGGCATTGTTTAATAAAGTAGCAAAGTGTCTTTTTTTTTATGCAGTGTAAAGATTGTACAAGAGATAAGACAATGATATATTCAAGGAGATTAAATCTTCAAAAGAGTGGTGCCTATGAGTTATGGGCATTATCTAAATAAACACGGCAATAATTGACGCACGAACTGCTATGTCTTGTGGTTTTTGCACATTCAATAATACACCTTGCAACACAGCCAAGGCATGCCTCGCGCTGTTCTTCAGTAACATTACTGACTAGCGTAAATGAACAGTACGTCATCTGACATCACACATAAAGTGTAGAGGTATAAAAGACTTACAATGATTTAGGAAATGTTATGGCAAAGCAACTAGAAGGCCTCGCAAAATCACATTAATTGCTGTTCACTCCGGGAATCTGTCGCATGATTTAAGTGGCATGTTTTAGTTCATCAAGCACTGCTAGAAAGAGGACACTTTTTGTGTGTGGTAGCCATCATTGCCACTATACTCGGGGACAACTTTTTGTGGCAATGATAGGAGAGCTACGGGAGCGGAGCCACTGCACATGTACACGTTGCGAAGTAGATCGGCCAGACTTGCTTTTCAAATTATGGCCGTGTTCGAATAATACCACAGCATAGAACTTGATACGTCTGCTTGCACAGTCATTTGCGGGTGAAATTCCACACAAGCTAGCTCCTTGGGCGAGTCGTCGAAATTGCTGGATGGTGACTGTGGTAAGAGTGCTTCTCACAACCAAAATCGAAACTGGAAGTGAAACCGACAGCGGAAAATAACCGACGAAGACGAAAGTGTGCACGGGGTCAGACGAACGCGAGCGCGTGAGCTTCGGAACAGCGACGGGCAGAGGAAGAACGCGGCCAGCTAGCAAGAGCGCTAGGCGTTGGGCCTCAGGGGACCGAACCAACGAGCGGGTGTCACCAACCCAACCGGGACGAGCGTGGCATGTTCCTGAGGCGAGTGGCGGTTCCGGGCCGGGCCTGACATGCTGTTCCTGTGGCGGACGAGCGTGCGGGCCAGGGCAAGCTGCTGATCCTGTCCAGACTCGGGTCCGGCACAACCAGTCACCGAGATCGTGGCCACGGTGCCACGTCGGAGCCGGTCCGGCACAACCGCCAATTGAAGGTGCGACCTCGGTGTTGCGTCGGCCGCAGCGTGGGGCCGCCTGGTCCAGCACGAGCAGCTGATGGTCTGCTCGTGAGCTTCCGTGCACTTGGCAACCTCCCCGTGGCGAGGTTGTGTCGTCGACGCCATCGTCTTCAGCGGGAGCGTGAGTGGCACCCGACGGAATTAGACTTTCGAGTAGTGAGGACGCGTGGGTTACTCGCGGGCGCCTAGACATAAGGACTGTATGACTGAATTACGAAGCCAGTGTGTTGTACAGATAGCCACAGTGTTGTGATTGTTTTGTGTGTGAAGTCAATAGATGTTTCTCTTGTCCTTGTCTTGGGTTTCTGCGTCTGAGGGCCCAAGAACCACCACAATTGGCGAGCCTGCCAGGATGGCTTATTAAAATCTAAAGCCATTACTCAGACGCAGCCTTTGTCATGGACAGGGAGAAATTTATTGCACTTGGCCGACAGCTAGGGTTGGAGAACGAGGAGCTCAGAGAGTGGGTTGAGCGAGAGTGCGTTGAAGCTCGAGATGAGCGTGCTAGGGAGCGCGAGATCGCGAAAGAAAACGCTGAGAGGCAGCAGAAGCTGTTAGAGCAGCAGCAGAAGGTGCAGGAACAAAAGCTGAAGATCCTCGAACTGAAGCTTCGACTTCAGGAGAGCGCAAGCAGGGTACAGCCAATGGTGGCTGACGAACAAGAAGGATCCAGCATGAGCGCCAGAGGAATAACAGAGGTCTGCAGTCCTCATAAACTGATTCCGCCCTTCAATGAGGCTCGGGACGACCTCGACGCGTACCTGCAGCGATTTGAACGGGTCGCCACGTGTCAAGGGTGGCCGCGTGAAAAGTGGGCTCTTTCGCTTAGCCTATGCATGACAGGAGAAGCGCTAACAGTCATAGGCCGGTTAGATCCAACAGCTGTGCTGAATTATGATCAGCTGAAAGCGGCGCTTCTTCAGAGGTTCCGCTATACTGCGGAAGGCTACCGCGAAAAATTTCGTAAAGCGAAGCCCGAAGAAAACGAGACTGGTCTGCAGTATGCTGCAAGACTTTCCGGCTACTTTGACCGTTGGCTTGAAGTGGGAAAAACGGAGACAAGCTTTGCTAGCTTGCGAGATCTGATGATAAGTGAGCAATTCATGAAGGGTTGTTCTCCGGCACTCAGGATCTTTCTCAAGGAGAGAAGTTGCAAAACCCTGAGTTCGCTTTGCGAGACTGCCGATAACTTCATGGAAGCACAAGCGCTCACAAACTTAGGAAGAGAACGGATTCCCAAGGATCCGGGACCTTCGGTGTCCAAGCCAGAGTCCGCGAAGAAGACGGAGAAGCCTGCAAGTCGCTGTTTCCTTTGTGACAAGGCAGGCCATCGCGCAGCCGACTGCTGGTCCCGCACGAAAGGGAATACTTTCAGCCGATGCGGAGTATGCAAACAAAGTGGACACAGCAGTGACAGATGCCCCGGTAGAAAATTTGGCGAAGACCAGGCATCATGTATGCTATCGGAAAAACGCGAAGACTTGACACCTGAACACCATAAGAGTGGCTACATTGTTCTCCAAGACGGCGGAACAATACCCATCGTCAATGCCACATCAAGTCGACGATCCGCGAACGTTGGAGTCGCTGACATGCCTGTTGTGGAGGGGTTCCTAGAGGACAGACCAGTGCATGTGCTTCGAGACACCGGCTGCAACACGGTCGTCGTGCGGCAATCCTTGGTTCCGAAGGAGAAGTTCACGGGAACGACGAGCCCAGTGTACTTACTGGACCGTACTGTGCGATATCTCCCAGAGGCAAAAGTCCTTTTGCAATGTACATTGTTTACTGGGGAAGTACTCGTTAAGTGTATGACCGACCCATTATACGACGTAATTTTGGGCAACATTAAGGGCGCGGCATTGCCGGATACGTTACCTATGAATGAGTCAGCACCACAGCATGACCATGGCCATGTGGAAACAAGGCGTGCACCATGCACAGACTCTAGCAAAGGGAATGCTGTCAATGGTGAGCAGGATGTATCTGGCAATTTGCACGCAACCCAACCAAGATCGAATGCGGAGGAAGCGTATGAGCCACCGCATGAAGCCATGGAAAAGTGGCCCCTTCCGAAGATCACCGCCAACTTGGCAATGGGCGAAGACAGTCGTTTCAGTGGCAGGAAGAAGCCTATCGTCGCCGAGAGGGTCCTGGGAACGGTGAAGTGGTTTAATGTCAAGAACGGCTATGGCTTCATCAACCGCAACGACACTCACGAGGACATCTTCGTCTACCAGACGGCCATCACGCGCAACAACCCACAGAAGCTGCTGCGCAGCGTTGGCGAAGGTGAGACCGTCGAGTTTGACGTCGTGGTCGGCGATAAGGGCTGCGAGGCAGCCAATGTGACCGGACCCGATGGTGAGCCTGTTCAGGGTAGCCCGTACGCGGCCGACAGGCACCCGTTCCGACCCCGCTGGATTCCACGTCGCAATCAACGAAGGCGCGGGCCGGCGTCAAGGCGTGGCCGAGGGGAAGATCGAAGGGAGGAAGCAGGAAACCGAGACTCATCGCAATCACTGCCACCGCACCAGGACCAGAGCGACCCGGCTCCTAGACGGTGGATCATGGACGGCGTGGGGAGGCCCTACCCTTGGCGATACAACCAGCGTTTCAGAGGAGTGCCACGAGCACCTCCGCGAGCCCCACCACCGCCACCACCGCCACCGCAGCGTTTCATTATCGATGAGCCACGGTCAGCGTACGCCGAAGAAGAGGTTTTCAACGAACCCCCACCCCGGCGCCCTCCACGGCGGTTCCGTGGCTGCTACTTTCGTAGACGGCGTGGCCGTTTTCAGAGCAACCTGGAAATGGCAGGACGGAACAGCTCCGGGAAAAAAATCTCGAAGAAGGAGTACGGGGAGGTAGCGGCGGAAGTGGCAACAGGAGCCAGGAGGACTCCCAGGACAGGGGGAGTGCCCCTTCGTGGCAACGACCTCCTCCGATGTACCGACACCCAAGGTCCCGCCGACGCAGAACCAAGTCACCATCCAAGAAGGCCGGGGCCCGTAATGGACGCGAGAACGAGGCGAGCAGCGGTGGAGTCTCCTTCTTATGGAATATGACTTTCACGTGGAACACATTCGTGGTGTGAACAACGTTGGTGCCGACTACATGAGTCGAGCGGCTTTTACCGAGCAGTGACTTATTGCCGTTGTACACAATTTTTTTTATCATGTTGTCATCATAGTGCAATTGGTTTTTTTTACATCTAAACTGTGACATTTAAAGTGTGCGGAACCTTTGTTATATTCGGGAACTGTGTGTTACGTGTGTACAACGTACTGGAAGTTGGGGGGAGTGTGGTAAGAGTGCTTCTCACAACCAAAATCGAAACTGGAAGTGAAATTGACAGCGGAAAATAACCGACGAAGACGGAAGTGTGCACGGGGTCAGACGAACGCGAGCGCGTGAGCTTCGGAACAGCGACGGGCAGAGGAAGAACGCGGCCAGCTAGCAAGAGCGCTAGGCGTTGGGCCTCAGGGGACCGAACCAACGAGCGGGTGTCACCAACCCAACCGGGACGAGCGTGGCATGTTCCTGAGGCGAGTGGCGGTTCCGGGCCGGGCCTGACATGCTGTTCCTGTGGCGGACGAGCGTGCGGGCCAGGGCAAGCGGCTGATCCTGTCCAGACTCGGGTCCGGCACAACCAGTCACCGAGATCGTGGCCACGGTGCCACGTCGGAGCCGGTCCGGCACAACCGCCAATTGAAGGTGCGACCTCGGTGTTGCGTCGGCCGCAGCGTGGGGCCGCCTGGTCCAGCACGAGCAGCTGATGGTCTGCTCGTGAGCTTCCGTGCACTTGGCAACCTCCCCGTGGCGAGGTTGCGTCGTCGACGCCATCGTCTTCAGCGGGAGCGTGAGTGGCACCCGACGGAATTAGACTTTCGAGTAGTGAGGACGCGTGGGTTACTCGCGGGCGCCTAGACATAAGGACTGTATGACTGAATTACGGAGCCAGTGTGTTGTACAGATAGCCACAGTGTTGTGATTGTTTTGTGTGTGAAGTCAATAGATGTTTCTCTTGTCCTTGTCTTGGGTTTCTGCGTCTGAGGGCCCAAGAACCACCACAGTGACGCACGCTCACCTAAAGGCGAAGACGCCATTTTGACTATTAGGTGCACCTAAAACTTGCATTGATTGATATGTTGGGTTTAACGTGCCAAAACCACTTCATGATTATGAGAGACGCGCACCTAAATCTTGCAATGTTTTCAGACGTGCAAAATGTGAAATTACACTTTATAAAGCAAAACAAATATATCTTCTTGGTTCGTTCAGCATCTCCTTATGAACAGCATCCTGTAGAAAATGAAGTAACATTGTTTTTATGGTCATCCTGCAAAAAACATGGACGTATTTGTGGGACTATATTTTTCAGCAGTGGCACTCGCCCACTTTGGCCTTTCTTTCATTTTCAACAAAAAGTTGTCCCCGAGTATAGCTAAAGCCCCTATACTTCGTAAGAGTACCGCCATCTGCTCTCCCCCTCGCCTCCTCCTCTCCAGCACGTTGCTTTTTTTCTTTCGCTAGCGACAGTGGCGCTCCCTGTAACACTCCACAAGCTTGCAGCTTGCTTTCGAGCCGGTGAGAGGAGGCAGCAGCACAGATCAAAAGAACGCTGTACTTTTCTAAGGAATCGAAGGACCCCCTTGTGTGCTGCAACAGTAGTCTTAGACTGGGTTCTCTGAATAATTTTTTTTAATCGAATGCACTATTAGGCCACAACTAGTCTGCCTTTTCCTCCTCAACTTCTATGGGCTGAGTTCTTCCTTTCATTGTGCAAGATTTAGCAGAGTACATGCTTTGTTTGTTTGTTTTTCCCTCTCTGCACCATCTGGTATTGCTGCAAATCAAATAGTTCTTGTTCCGTTCTCCAATACAAATGTTCAAGATCATTTGCACAAGTAACGTCTCAAAAAAAAAAAAAAAAGCCATGTCCCAGAAGCAGGTGCGGCTCAAAACTCTGTATTGCTGTGAACTGCATTTGTAACAACAATACTTTTATTTAAAACCTTATAAATCGTGCTTAATGCAGAGAACTTAAATTGGTCTGTTATTCACTCAAAAAACCTAAGCTATTGACTCCACAGGTTCGTAAACAGCAGTCGAATCATGGCATTTCCCACACTTGCTATTATGGGTGGCCATCCTCGGCAGTGTTTCACAAAACTGAGAACACCAACAAAACTTCATGATGGAAGCTTCGTTTCATCATTTACTTAGCAGGTCCCGTAACGTTAAGCTGGGGAAAATCAACGTTCAAGCGAAGTATTACCTTGACCACTTGAGTTTAGTTCTGTGTATGTGATGAGAACAAGAGCCAAAGCATTGGCTCCGGGGGCGTAGTCAGTAATATTTAAGAGCAAAGCACTTTAGGGGCGCTGCTTGTCGTCCATCCATGGTTCTAATGTGGCGTGGTCACGCTCAGAGTAAAGCGCTCAATACAAGCCATAGCAAGGCTAGAAATGCTCAAAGGCAGGTTTAAGTGAACTGACGAGGTCTAAAATAATATAATCAACTGAAGTAACCAAAGTGTAATTAAGGAAAGTGTAAACTTAAGGGATCGTTTTCTTTGTTAGGCACAATATTAATGAGAACTAACTGACAATAATGCCAGGCAATGCATAGGGGATGTTATTACTGATAACTGTAATGTAAATTTGAAGAAAGAAAAGTGGACGAAAAGATGAAAGACAAAAACATAACTTGCCAATGGCAAGTCATCTTTTCGTCCACTTTTCTTTCTTCAAATTTACATTACAATTACTTGTAATAACATCTCCCATGCTTTCCCTGGCATTATTGTCTATTAGCTCTCCTTAAAAAGTAATTACAACACTGAACTTAAAAATTTTTTCAAAAGTTTTCGGAAATGTGCACCTGCGCTTCGTCGGTGCTGCACTGCTACACCTTATGGGGGCGGAAAACCTGATGGAACTCACTGCAGACAATGTGATATCAACTGCAGTAACAAGCTAAAAGTCGAATAAAGTGCAGCAAAAAAGCAGCGCACTTTTCGCACATCAAGTTTGCGAATTTCCCTAACAAGATTCCACTCGTGCATGGGAAACCCTACATTGATGTCATAAATGCTTTGGTAAACAGAGCTGTGGAAAATCTGCAAATGGGAATCGCTGGGTGGTCGTGCAAGCACTTGCTTGGGTATCACAGTGGTGGAAATTGCGTACATGTTTTTTTTTTTTTTTTGGTGGGGAGGGAGGTGAAACAACCTTCATGTATGCTCGTGTGTGTATATATGCATACGCGAAATTGAATAACAAACTCCCCAACCACCTGGTTATGCCCGTGGTTGGTTCCAGTGACGTTTGTGGTTCAACCTCTGTCTACGTTGAACTTGCGATTCATTATCTAATAACTGCATTCGTTCAAAGCCATAGAACACACATATTGAAATATCCTATATACAATGAAGAGATCTTGTATCAAGAAATACCACATGGACATGATTTGTCACGATTTATTGAAGTTGTGTGGCATCTTGGATAACTTGGCAGGCCATCAATGAGAGAAAAAAAAGTGTCACTATATAATTTGTTATTACACAAGACGTGCAAGGCTGGAACTTGACTACTGGTGCTTGCAAGGGTACACAAACGTTGGCAGAACTTTTGTCTACGCTGCACAATTCGCTAATGTCAGAAAAAGTCCTCCAAAGGTCAGTCTTCAACACGATTTTCAAGTTTCTCGCATTTTTCCAACTTCTAAGGGAAACTCGAAGAGACATGTGCCAGTTCTTGCCTCCCTGCTTAGCTTGTGGTCCACATTCCACAACTGAGGGATGAACCGTAGCACTTTGTATTTGTAAATGAAAAACTAGAGTTCACAACTGGTAGGATTAACCCATTGTACCAAAACACGTTTGCAGTCTTGTTGGTCACCATTTTTTCCAGCGAAACAGTTCACAGAGTCCTTCTTTTTCCATTTCTGAGGGGGCAAGTAACAAATATACACAGGTTCCTCAAGATTGCGTACTTTTGCTGTGAGGTGCATGCATTTACAGTGCTTGCGAATTTCCAGTTTTGTGCATTTTTTGAGAACTTGTTGCAGATGCACCCATGCAGTTGTAATTTCTGCACATGGCCGACGTACACTGAAACTTGCACTGATGCACGGTGCCATGAAGAACAAAAAGTGAAGCTGGTTCGGTCTATATGTACTGCTACAGTTACTTTCCAAGCACTATGTTGTAGGCCATATACTCGTCATACAAACTTTTCTGTCCATGTAATGCATTGCCCCAATTTCTTCAGACGTTAGCTCGTGCATTTCAGAAAAGCAGTTGCTGTGACAAAAACTTCAGACTTGCATTTATCCCATCATGCTTTTCCTGTTGTGCATGTTGATGCTGCAGAAACTAAAGCCAATCTGCCTTTTGCATTAAGTTACACCGGGATCTGGTGCTAAAGTCAGGCTTGGACACATTTTTCACCCCCCACTGAATCGTCATGTAGCAGAGTAAAACGCTGGTGATGAGGATCTGGTGCACCATTGAACTACAGCTTTGGCCTATTCAATGTAAAGTGAGCCACACAAAGTAGTCGTTCGTCATCCAAGTGATCGTTGAATGCGCAAATTTCTACATCAAGGCAACCTCAAGAAAGCAAGCATAGTTTGCTAATAATATATATAACTTCAAACTAAAATGCAGAGTACTATATCTTTATACCGACCACAATTAAAAATACTTGTTCTAAATTGCATGCTACACAGTCGCACTCTAAAGAAATACTAAGTTATTCTTACTGCTACGAAGACTTCTCCAAAACTAAAACTAGTCTTTTTGACACCCTTTCCCAAAGCACTTACCTTACACCAAGAGACATTTACCATAGCACTCTAAAGTGTGCATAAACACTGAAGCAATGGGCATCTAATATTGAGCTGCTTTCACTCCATGAACAGTCCACTGCAGCGGTTTTGCTAGTATTTAAGGTGCCCGGCTGCTTAGCCGAAGGTTGCAGTTTCGATCCAAGCCATGGTGGTCACATTTCAATGCAAGTGAAATGCTAGAGGCCTGTGTATTGTGTGATGTCAATGCACATTTAAATAACATTGAATTGTCAACATTTCTGGAGCCTACTACTACAGTGTGCCTCATGATCAAATTGTGGTCTAGGCATGTAAACTCCAAATACTATTAGTATTATTACAGCATAAACAGGGGCTGAAAAAGTTTGCAAAAAAGTTTGAAAAAGTTTACATGCTTAGCAGCTATACATATACGCAGCACATCACTTGCAGTCATTGCAGCTCGGTAACACCCGTCCGCTAGTACTGGTCTTCATTGCTAATACCCGTGCAATGACTACAATAGCAATTATTTCTCAAAATCAGTAAAATCTCAAACTTCGGGCGGCCCTTCGCTTATTTTTAGATTGCCTCTACTTCTTATCTTTGCTGGCATAAAAAATACATTGCGATTGTGAAAGGGTGTACGAATCAAATGTACATCCTTGATTTTCTTTCCCAAGTGGAATTCACTTTCATAAACGAGTTTGTTTTTTTCGTTCACAGTTTCACATTGTCACCGAAATATAACAAGCACTGCAGTCTTTAGAAGTACATATCTATGCATTATAGAAATAAAGGAACACGCTATCTGATACCTTAATATTTACATTTATCTCAAACATGCATAAGACTTGCTTTTTGATTGACAATGTTCACAAGTATGGATGCAGCCAGCAGGACAAAATGGCTGGGCATAGAGGAAGAGCTTAAACTTTCGCCTAGTAGATGCTGGATCGTGCGACAGACAGACAGGCTAAAATTTCCGTGTTGAAGTATCCCAAAAAAGACTATCATCCTCAAAACTTTTTGAAATAGCCAACCTGCCTATGGCCTCCTCTCTGTCTTCTACGCCAATGTAAAACGTAGTAACTCTAATCTTGTTGTATAAATGATCCAAACAGGCAAGTGGTCATAAACAATCATTTTAATGTCCTACAGCATATGATATGTACAGTGGAACACAGCAACAACAATGAAAAAAAAAAAAAACTTGGACGTTCTCAGATGTGCACAATGAATCCCGTACCAGGGCTGAGTACACTCCAGGTGAAGAGAAAAATGTAATGACTACCTATTACACACCCATGCCTTGAATGCGTGAACAGGCATTCAGTGTCTTTGTTATCGGAGAGTACACAATACTGGTTTTAGTGTCTGTAGTTTTGGCAGTCACTGAACACCACAAAGTTGTGCCATACGTTACGGCTTCTAAGGAAAGAGAAGTATAACTGTCCTTTTCTCCCACGTATCACAAGTGAAACACATTCACATTAGTCCGCAACTAGTATGTACACCGAACAGTCCTTAACTACACCGCATTCCAAAACATCAACTCAACTGCACCGGGGCTGCACTAAGCTTTTGAGCATAAGAAATGCCTCACTCTCTCTTTGCACACTGGAAAAACATCATGCGATAGATGAGAAATACTTTGTGCCCTAACAACACTTAAGCATGGCTCGTGTACACGTCCGGGACTGCGCCTCTTGACTCCTTTGCCATGTCTACGCTAGCTTACATCTTCCTTTGAAAAGTCATTCGCGAATATTTCCCCGCTGTAACAAATAACTCTTCAAAAAAGCGCACAGCTTTAATACGCCACATCTGTCAACATTCAGCACCACTATCCTTCTGCATTGCATTCCAACAGTGAATTTGGAGAGAAGCTTTAAAGACTGAACAATGTCGCTGGTACGGGAAGGCTTCGTGTTCCCACATTGATGTGCCCACCTCGACGATATCTTCTCGACGCAACTTCTCACAACTTTGCCGCCGCGGATTACTAGTCCTTATGCACTCAGTCCGAGTAGCGCTTTGCCTCAAAGGCTACTCGGGTTCTACCCCTGCTGAACACAACAAATGAACGCCAGCACAGCTGCTCGTCAATAAACACCAAATGTGCGAAGGCCGCTCCTTGTCGGTCGCAACTTGTAAACCTCTGGACGGCCAACCCCACTCGCGTCCCTCGGCTTGCTTTGCTCCAGGTCTAGTTGAAGATGACGGAGGTCGCGCTCAGGTAACTTGGCTCAGAGTGGTGGCCGTGCTCTCCGAAGGGTTGAGCATTGTGAGGTGTGTCAGGTCGGAGTGGAGCATCGAGAGGCTGTCATCAGGTGGCGGGCACACCTTCTTTTGCAGACTTTGGATGTAGCTCTGCGTGTCCCCACAGCACCAAGCAGAACAGGTTTTCGTTGATGAGAGACAGGCCGGGCGCAGTGTGATTGTTGCCAGGTCAGGCAGGAGCAGCACAGATAAGGCGAGGGAAATGGAGGGAGAGAAACAAGGCGTGGTCTCTCAAACCCTGGGAACATCTCGGGCCGCCATTTCGCATTTTTTGCCAAGAAAAAAAAAAGCTGAAGCAGGGCGTGAAAAGGTAGCCAAGATTTTGCAAAGCCACAAACATGGAGAAAAGCAGTGGCACGTTGCTACAGCAGTGCACAGGTGCACTCAGAATAGTCTTAATTGAACTTTCTGTTCTGGTAATCAGGTAAATGCAAATACCTCCATTGTGTTTCACAAGCCAATGAGTTGTCATGCATTGAAATACTCATCAAAATGTAGAACCTCCATTCATTATTACTGCATCAATTGCAAGAGCATTCACATTTAGTATGAATCTGCCAAATCCAGCCATAGTTAAGGTATTATGTGATCAATGTACTTCATTAAAATAGACATGCATTGAGATAATATCACTACTCTGGTGGCCCTGACGGCTGCTGTATATAATATACACTGAACATATAAATATTCAAGTATTCAGTCTGCCACGTCTATGTCACTCCACCTTAAAGGGACACTGAAAGCGACTATTAAGTCAATGCTGATTGTTGAAATAGACGTTTAATAGTGGTCTAGACATTTATTACACAGAAATACCTGCCCAGAAACTTCATAGTGTAACTTTCGTGCCAAGGAAGTGCTTATTTTTAAATAAAATCACGTTATAGTGACCTGTATCGGGTTAGCGCACTGTAAATTACCCCCCGCCTTAAAAAGCGTACCGACTCGCATCACTGTGGCTGTGCACAGCATTGCCCAGCTTTACTGCGCGGTCGCCGACACTAGTAGACAGAACGACAACAGGGGGAGCCACAGCAGCAACAACGGCCATTGATCGATTTCCTGCCATTGGCTCCGAGATGGCAGACGAGTTTTGTTTCAACTGCGCCACGCTAGATGGCACGACCTGTCCAGTTTAAGCGCGTGAAAACAGAACTTTTGAACCACTCGCGCCATTCCCCATAGTTACGTTCGGTGGTTCTTTTTTTCTATGAATCAAACAGGAACGAACAAGCAGCATTTTATTGCGTTTGTTGATGCACGGAAGGTTCTTTATTTAGTGCACCTAGATCAATTACTAGTGATTAGTTGTAGGCGGTTCGTCTGATGTCATCAATATCATTTTGAGAATGTCCTACTGCGGCGCATGTATTCTTGTACATTTACCTTAATTTCCCGGCAAGTAGGGCTCTGCTGTTGATAATATTTTCGTTTTAGATGTTGTCATACACTGAGCTTTCACTCTGACCTAAATTGTTATTTCACTTTACTGTCCCTTTAAAAGTTCGAATCTGAAGTTGCACTTAAAGAATATGTTGATTAAAAAGTAGGATTGTGCATGCTTGAAGCTGTGCAGTGTACCTTGAGGCATTTTTAGCGCAGTGCAACTACTGTGCAAATGTTTTCAAGCAGATGCGTTAAGATAAGCGACAGAGGACCATGGCTGCAAAGGTAGGTACTGCATGCAGTGAGAGACCCAGGGATTCGAAAGGCCCACAACCAGCAATGGTAAATAAAGAGGAACATCTGTATCACATAGCAATGGTTAAGCAAGTCATATTTCTGAGTAGTTAAAGAATACAATTCGTACTGATTTGGAGCCATAGCAGTAGCTTTTATAGGTGTTAGCCCATACTGTTTAGCAACACAGCTCTAGGGGATTTAGGCCCAAACAACGAAACGTTCCTTTCTTTTGACCGCGTCCTCTCCTTACGTGAGGCTTCCTTACAACCAAGTACCGACGGAGGAAGCAAGTGTACTCTGAAAGCTCCCTTAACCCGTCCTCGTGGGAGGAATGGTTGCCGCGCTCCTGCGTTCGAGATTATCGAATATAAGCTTTGCTCACAAGCGTTTATTCTGTAAAAAAAATTTGGGTCACCACATCACTTCCAAATTGAAGTGTTAATATAGAGACGCGTGTACGCTTTCTTCCAACTACGATTACTGAATGTGAAAAGCCACCGTAGTTGAGCGCAAAACGTGGTGCATTCTAGCAACACTGCGTGCTGTCGTGCCTGGCACCGTGCACGCACGCTCGCCGCTCGTGTCTCCCCGCAGAGGTGGGGTGGGAGGGTTGCCTCGAAAACGAAAACATCACGTGGGCTAGCTGTGAGGCGAAGCGCTCGTTCAGGGCAAGGAGCGGACCTAACAGCGCACGAAGGTAGCCCCAAAGCAACCTTAAGCTGAGGAAGCGCCAAGGAAGCCTTCACCGAGGGCTCCTCAGTGAGGAAGCTTTCAGAGTGACATAAGGCGACCTCACAAAAATGAAGGCTTCCTCACTGAGGAAAGGAACGTTTGGTTGTTTGGCCCTAAGACGGATGAACTTGTCAATGCCCTTTTTAAAGTTTTTACTTATTAAGCTGTGGCAAGGCACGAATGAAAACAGATGCAGTAAAGAAAACTGGTCTGTTTCTTTTTTTTTTTTCCTGCTGGCAAGTTGTACTTTTATGGTTTTTCATGATGTGGTCTTTGTTTGTTACACAGGATGTCTATTAACAGAATGTACATATGAAGACTTCTATTTCACATTAGAAAAATTTTGGCACATCAATAGTTATATAGAGCAACCTTCTGTGTAGAATGAACTTGTCAGCGAGTCTCTGCCTTGAACATGACAATGAGGCATTACAGCAATTACAGAAGTAGCTAGCCAAAATGAATAATAAAGCAAGATAAGTAAACACTATTTGATAAAAGTAATTGTAAAGAATTGTATGAATAAAATACACAAACAAGTGGCTTAAAATGCATTTGACTATTACTTAAACACATTTTATTATGTCTAATGAAGAATCTTGAATAATAGTAAGCACTGAACCAACACTGACATAGGCAATGTTTTATCACTGAGAAATAAGTTGCCTGAATTCAAAATGGATCACAGTTGTGACAGACTGCCCAGCAGAGTGATTTTGGAATTGCCCACACATTATCCGTACAGTAATGACAAATTCGTGTAGGATCGGTTTCACACGTGCTATCCATAGAATGCTGTAAATTAGGTAACTGTGCCTTTAATTTTCACATTGGTATATCGTAGCACTTGAGCACAGAACAAAAATGGTTGCGCTCTGTTCCAACAGCTGTCATACCTTCGAGCTCTCTGCTTTAGAGCACCTCTTTAATCGGCATCACCTGGTTGTTCAGTGCTACCTGTAGGAGGTTTTGAGTCACTCTACCCAAATTCAGTTGCTTTCTGACGCTAACTAATGCAGCTATTTCACCTCATTTTTTTTCTTTGTAGATTCTCTTCCCCCTATTGTGCCTTGTAAAATGTGACACACTTAGCAGGGGCCCCATCAAAGGCCAATCCACTTGAGAATGACCACGTACTCCGAAGCTCCCCTGGTTTTCCCCCATATCTCACCTGGGAGATGACATCGCCGTGAGCAGTCCGCACCTGGTACAGGTATCGATACTTGCGCTGCCGTTGCTCTGCACGAGATTCTTCTTGCCTTATTCTCTGCAGGTTGAGCTGACGAGACCTTCGGGATGGTCCAACTGCTGACGGGAGAAAAAAAACTATACTTGCACATTTCTTGAGGAGAGTAGACCACACATGACTAATATGACCAATTTCAGCATTAACACACAGAAGCATTGCTTTAGTGGCAGGCTTCACACATACAGACTGAATGGTGACTGAAAAAAAAAAGGAGTGCTGTTATCTAAATAGCATCTTTCAAAGATTATGGCATACAAAGCAAAATGACAGCAAGATGCAACAGAAGTAAAAAAAAAAGCTATTTGTATGCATTCCAATTACTCTACATGCTGATATACTGAGGCTTGGCGTACACGAACTCCATCAACTGATTGGAGCAGTGAAAGACCATTCAAGGTAGTTATACCATTTACACAGGTGAACATGGGGAGAATGCATGCATATCCCGTATCTCTAGAGCGGCTAAGGCTTGACTTATGTGATATGTATATGTGCTCTTTGGCAGGAATTTCACACAGATTGTCAGCTGCAGCAAGCGGAATGCAACTATTGTACTGCTACCGAGCTGAATAATTAAATATTAACAGAGCATCTACTCAGCTTTATCCTTTTTTTGCAGCCAAACACACTGCACCTAATTCATGTCTCTCGAAACCTTCTAGCCGTCTTCACGCAGAATGCACGTACATGTGCTAACACCAGTACGAATGTAGTAGTACCAACAGTTTAAACATGCCTAAATGTCTGCATAATTAATTAACATGCCATTACAACAAAATGGTAGTGTACCGAATAAGTGTTCCACAGCAACGCCTATCTCCATTTTCCTTCTGTATAACACGGAGAGGCATTGTGCACAAATATGTAGTCTAGTCAACACATTAAGTATTTTGCATGAACACCTGAATATTTCATCTTATATGAAACATTCAATTTAAATTAGTGATACGTAATGATGCTACCGCTGGCCACAGCCTGTATTGTGGCAGACAAACTAGAAGTGGGGATGTTCTATAGTATATGCCACTTTGTCAGCCGATAGTGAGCCTCGGTGCACATTTACAACCACAACACTCGTTTGAGAAGTGTCGATAAAGAAATGAAGATAGAACACAACCTTCTCGTCCATCCTTTGCACTGCAAGGTATAAGTACTAATCACACTATACAACGAAGGTAGGAGCATGCAATGCGTCCCACGCACCGTCAGAGTGGTAGGTGCCACGGCCTGTGAGCCTCCACTGTGTGATCACTCCGATGACGATGAGCAGTGGCCACAGAGCCAGAATGAGCCAGGAAAACCAGCACAGGGGCAGAGGGGGCTTAAGTAGGATCACACCCAGGGACCAGTCCGTCAGGCGTGACCGACTCACAAAGTAGTCCGAGCCCACAACCATCATGGCACCTCCATACACGCTTGTGCCTAGAATGGTCAAGGCTGCACAAGGAAAGACATGTGTAAGTACATACATAACAGCTGCATTGAATACTTGCTATGCTATTTCAAACCAATATGAACAAAGTTAGGGAGTTTTACTACATCTGTTGGCATAATGAATCGAAATCGCAAGCTATGGGCAAGTTGATAGCATAAAGTATCTGAATTAACAGCAATTAAAACAAATTGAGCACTGAATTGAGCACTGAATCTCTATCCCTTGTTTTCACTGCTGTTTACTTAGTTGCCTATTCAGCCAGCTGCAGTCACAATGGCTGTCACTAAAGAATTATGGCAGAAACCACCTCAGGATGACTGTAGAAATTTACATGATTAGCAAACAAGGAAGCAATGTACTAGATACTGTGCTCATCTACTGGCAACACATGATCACATTATGTGTGAGGCATGTACTGAAAAACCAGGTTCCTGCCTACAGTTCCCTATTGACATAGTGAATGATGCAGCAATAAAGCTGTAACGTCTGTCCAGGCCAGACGTTTAAATATGAATGATGTAGGTTCCATTCTGCTCAGCACTAGAAAATATTTTTGAAGTTTTTGTCTATACTGAAGAGTGGCACATACGTCATTGGCACCTAAGCAGTGACTTATGTTGGTGAGTAAGAAGCTTAATTTAAATGTGGCCCACAGCCAAATGACTTCAGTCGGTCCAATGAAGCCAAACTTGGTTTCTTGAAAACGACCACCCTACCCATATCAGACCATGAACTACACTGTGATCCAAGTTAAAGAAAACCAGACAAAGAATTTCTCTGCAGACTGGGTCACGTCGTTGAGGAATGCTAATTGCATTGAAAAGCATTGAGCAGGCCACGGTACCTTTCTGCCAGAAGAGATTGAGCACAGCCCCGAAGATGCTGCAGGCAAGAAGGATGCCCACAGTCAGCCACACCGTGGATGGCGTGTACCATATCCGCATCAAGGCTATGCTACCAAAGCCCGCAAAGAGGCCCGTGTGGAAGCCGGTCAGGAACAGGCCGGCGTGCTGCACCAGCATAGTGATGAGGCCGAACAGCAGGCCCGCGCCAAGGGAGACACCTGCGTTGCCCGCTGTTGACAGGAGGCTCTCCACGGTGCAGATCTTGAACACCACGAAGGAGCCAAAGAGGAAGCCCGTCAGAAACATCACAGCCTTGAAGCAGCGATACCCTGGGAGCAGAAGGGGCGAGAGCACAGAAGGAAATCAACAGTCGTTACAGAGGATGGTACACGAAGCCATCGGCCACATTAGCTTTGCCTTGAACAGACACGGCACAAAGCCTTCTCTCGAGACTCGCTGGCAGTACCAAGGCAGTAGCAACGTAGCTTGACCACCACTCATTTATCAAATAATTTTTCCAAACATAACTCTGCATGATGTGAAGGTTACGAGTTCCAGCCATTGGAAGCACATTTGACACTAAGAAATTAAACTGGGTTCTCACGTGCCAAACCATGATTTTATCATGAGGCACACTGCAGTGGCATGGAGACTTCCCATTTATTTTGGTCAGCTGGTGTTTTTTAAAATGCACCTAATCTTAATGTACTCCCACTTCTTGCATTTTATTCAAATCAAGTCCAAGCTGCCAGGACTGGGATGAAACCCACAATCTTGGGATTCAGAGGCACGTTATCATAGCCAATAGGTCGGTCACGGCAACAGGTCTCAAGAAAAAGTACTTAACTCAGAATATAAAATGCCAATTCACAAAATAAAAGGAGCAGTTTTACTTCTCTTCTTAACTCCTGTATTTTTTTTTCCTATAAAAATTTGATGACAGCAAAGGTTTCTTTGGCAGGAATACTTGACTATCTCTGTACTAACCAGACAATATATGCAAATACTGTGTCATATTTTGCCTAGATTGAGTTCAGCAGATGCTTCTTTTCAGGACATGCACGTCAGCCAAGCAGAAACTTATTCAAACGAGCATGAGGGACTAACTCACCATACAGCGTGTAGACTACACCAAACACCATGTACATGCCGCACAGGATAGCCACTGGAATGTCATAATCAAAGACGAATTCTTCACAGTCCAAAGTTTCAGACGAGTTGGCATCTCGCCCGTGGTCAAAGAATTGGTCCTGCATTGTTGGGCTGGAGGAGTCCTGGTAACAAATAAGAAAGTGTGCATTAATTAATAATATAAAATTAAGAAATCAAACTGAGGCATCACGTGCCAAAACAAATGCCGCACTTTTAGCAAGTACAATTGTTGCAATATTACCTCTGCCCCATTTTGCATGTGTTTGTCATTGATACTACTCTACTGCAAGTACATGTGGACGAAATTTATGTCGAACTTCTGTAGTGAGAATTCCTGACTAAGAGCAGTTGGTTTAAAAAGGTGTTTAGTGGCAGCTTTATCTCTCACAGAAATGCTCTGACCTTGGCAGCTCATCAATTTTGAACTAGGCAAATCATTTCTCAAGATTTAAAGCATGTACAAGCAAGAAGAGCCATCTGGAAAAAGGCAGAAGCTCGAAGAAATCAGCAGAGGCTCTTCAACGTGCAGTCAATCCTCTGACAAAGAACTTTTCTTTTCAAGTGCGAATTGCAGCAACACTAAAACTTATGTGGCTTACACTCGCCACCCCTGTCGGGAACAAGAATGAACAGGAACAAAAGAATAATGGAGCAATGTCATATAAAAAACATATTCATACTCTTAGTGATCCAACAAGAGCTTTTTGCAGCGATTGCTTCCAGTTGAAGTAAGAAGTGATTACGCCACTGTGAACAGAAAAACCTTGCGCGTATCAGTATCATTGTCGTAGTGTAAGGCTGGCTCTGAACGAAACAAGATAGACAAGTAAATTTGGGATGAGATGAAATAGAAATTCTGCAACTGCATACATCACGTTCACTTCGATTTTGTCCATTACAAGTATTATTACAGAGCTAGTAAAGTTAGGGTGGTTTCTTGAATCAACCTAATAGTCCTGGTGAATGTGGTGAAGATCGGGCTTCTTTGCTATGCAAAACAGTGCAGGTACCATTAATCACTAGAAAGACAACCCATAATTAATCACCAGAAAGGCAACCATGTCTTTAAAATAAAACAAAAGTGATCGTTTTGCAGATGCAAAGCTTTACATTGTTCCGATCCCAATGAAGGTTATCAGGACCAGTTATATGCATGATATAAAAAAGAGCTCCAGGTTCCACGAAGTGTCCTAATCAACTAAGCCAATACATACATTTCTTCCCTCCATTTAAGAGCTAACAATCTAAGACACCACCAATATATCGTCTTGCTGATGTGAATGCAGCATGACTAAAGCCATGTATACACATACTTTTCACAGACTGAAAAAAAATTTTATTCTCGCAATTAATTAATTAACTCAATAATTAATGCGCCGATTTATAATTACAAATCCTATTACTCGTTGAACACTAAATTAACTAAACTTTTTCACTGCATAAAAACAAAGCATGAGGAAACTTAGAGAAAATAATTCTTTCATATTCAATTATATGTGCTTCATTGCAGGCATTAAAGGCATGTTATTTAGCAGCGATTTTCTCACGCTCGAGCTTCTTTGCGCGTAATGCGTGCAAGTGATATTCGGCGAGATTTAAACATATGCAGTCCTTCAACAAAGCTTTCAAGAACTTCGACTGTTAAACCGCGAGAAAAAGAGACAAATATGCAAATTCGCGGCGACAAGCTCACCTGTTAGAGGTAGACAGCTTTGGCGCAGCTAGAGCCGAACAGCGCAGAATATTCCGGCCGGCAGACGTGTCGAGCTCAGAACCTCCAAAGCGCGGGCTCGCAGCAGGCATGGGTCATCATGCCTGCTCCGGAGGCTCCCCCCCTGCACAAAGCGCACGCGCGAAATGAGACATCGGAAGCGAAACTGCTAAAAAACAAGCGAGACAGACAAAACGCGTGGCGCGCATAATTTCTTTCGCGGCACGGATTGCGACGTACGCGCGAGATACGAGCCAGCAAAACCTGGACGGAGCGTCGCCGCTCGTTTTTCACCGCGCGCGAATGCAGCGCCGCCGCCGAACGATCGCGCCAGCTGCGGCCTTTTTACGAAACACGAAAGCGCGTCGCGACACGCCGGCGCACTGCGCGTTTCGTCCAGCGTTTTGCCCAACAGCGAAGAGCGCGGACAGGGCCAGCTGGTCAGCAACGAACGACACGCAACGGGAAATGCCAACTGTAGCTGCAGCTGTCGTAGATCTGGGTATGAGTCACCGTTTCATTTAGTTTCGCAAAGAAATGGGAGACACGCAAGGCGTGCGAGGCGCGCCAAACCTGCAATCGCGCGCACACGTGTTGAATATTGTTGTCATATTCGTACACCACATCCCCATCGTGCGCATGCGTGACAACAGCCTACTCATGGTATGGTCGTAATTGACGCAACTGAAGGCCTTGATTAATTAAAACTGGACAAGGACGAAGAGGGAAAAAAAAAAACAGATCTACACCACTCGTTTCTGTTTCCGCATTAGCCGTGTGAGTGAGCGACATGTTGCAGTGACTCACGGACACACATTTCATTAGTTTTTAAGCAATAGCGGATGCGCCAACATTCCGCGTGTCAGGTAACGCAAGGGGCATTTTTACGACGCTTCGCCGCCAGCATTTCATCCAGACTTGTCTGTATCATACATAGCGAACAACGTATGCCGTCAGAATAAAACCACAAATAAAGCACTAGAATTAATTAACATACTGTACATTGTAAAATCTCTTTTTTTTCCCTGCCGCACCGTTAGATAGCCACCCATCCATCCCCAATGACACTCATAGCAAGCGAATATAATAATAATAATAATAATAATAATAATAATAATAATAATAATAATAATAATAATAATAATAATAATAATAATAATTAATAATAATAATAATAATAACCCATTTTCACTGAATTAAAATGCTTAAACGTTCTTGCACATGCAATATAGCGCTATCGAAATACTCACAATTTACAAGTGAACAACGTACTTTGAGTTTGGAATCAACAGGCTTTTTATTTCACTGCAAATATTAAAACCTGGCACTTTGCAACCGGAAACCAAGATATAATTAGGGCACGCCATGGTAAAGTGGGATATTCCGGATCGATTGTAACCACTGGGGGTTCTCTTACGTGCGAGAATAGCCACTTACACAAGCGTTTATTTATTCATGTCTAATTCGACAACACGATTTATCCGTTTGGAAAAGCTAAATAATAATAATAAAGTGAGAGGAGGAAGACGGCACCACATACCATCACTAACATACATTATACGACTGCGAAAAAATAACTAACAATGAGATCAATGAACAAGCGAAATACACACTTGTACTTTCTTATAACCTTTGCTTCGAGTACAAATCAAGAGTGTACCGGCTACAGCAACCGAGAAAGTACATTTATCCAGAGGTCGCTGCAGCTTTTATTTGACTGGAGTAAACAATGAGGGATTCATTGATTGACTAAAAAGGTTAAAAAAGATGAAAAGCAATCAACATAATAAACGCAACCTTGAAAGAATGGGGGAGATGAAGAAAACGATTTAAAAACACGCAAATGATTAAAGATGCCAATGCCGTAATCAGTGTCCACAACTACTCAAACTAATTAAAATACGGCACATCACACGTTTCGCGCGTACAGTGGGGGATATCGCGGAAGTGTGCGGCACGTCAGGGAGACAACAGCGCGTGTTTAACGTTGCATAGCAACGCAGTTGACTATCTGGTCAACACAAACTGCAACGGTCGAAGCACTTCGAGCCAGCTACAACCGAAAGCTGGCTTCTCCCCCTAGCAAGCGCGCTCAGGGTGGAGCCAACTTCACAAAAGCAAGCACGAACGCGTCGAACCTTGGATTGAAAACAAGCTAACGACAACCCATCACACGTTGCGTGCGTAGGCGCGGGTTAAGCTCGTGAAAACACGAGGTTTGTAGTGAAAGGAGCACTGATTGACAGCTTCGGAGGCTCCACCGGCTATCTCTAGATGTGCAAAAGACAGCCGAGCGCGGAAAATCCCCAAGATGTAGACGCCGTCACCATACGCGAACTGTACATTCGCGTCGTTGAAGTGTCACACACGACGGTTTGTGTATTTTTTAATAACGCTCACAGACAAACACAAACAAATTGGACTTACTTGACCGCATCATAGGCAAGTAGACAACTGGTCGCGCACAACGCCGATTAACTCGTACATATTCTATCGCGACAAGGGCATGCAGCCTACATGTGTCGGTCTTCCCGGTGACCAAGATTCCGCGCTTTGCGCTCACGAAAAGTTAACAAAAAAGGAGAAACAAAGGACCGCAATTATGAGAACAAGAATACGCAGGCACGCGTGTGGTGCGGCAAGTCGCGACTTTACTTCCAAGCGAAACCTTCCTTTCTTTTTATTTTGTTTAATGGCTGGAACTGCGGCACCACCACAAACCACTCCTGCAAACAATAACACTAATATAACAACTGAAGATACAAAGCACACGGAGCAGTCTAAATATGCGAGTCGTCGCCGACCAAGATGACGAGTCTCTGGCGTACACAACGAGCCCAACCCTTTGGTCTCCTTTTATCTCTCAGCCTGTTGAGGGCGTCGACGCGTCCTCTTCGTCGCGGATCCCGGTAGACGCGAGAACACAAGTGGGGGCGCGGGGCGCAAGTGGATCGTCTCGCGCCCCTGTCAGGCGACATCCCGGAGCCACCGCCGGCTGCGCCCCCTGCATGCTCGCGTGCCCGGCTCGTAAAATCGGGTCAACGACTTGCTTTGCACTGCATGGCGAGCGCGTACGAGGACTGTGCCGTCTATGTTGAACCGGCGCCTAAAAAACACCGCGGTTTTTTTTTTTTTTTTGGCGCGGCGGTTTTTACAAACCCGGGACTATGTGCTTCCCATCGATGCGGCGGCTTATCTGGAGCGCTGCCGAGTCCCCGAATCTATTTCCTGCCACCCGGCTCTCGTTGTGCTGCGCAGGTCCGTTAAAGAATGCTGAAGTCGTATACATACGCAAATCACCATACAGTTAGAATAACGTAACTACCGTAAGAGCTGTGCATTGCTTTTTCACCCACCACGGTGGTCTGCTCATTACGGTTCACGACTGCTGACCTGAAGGTTGCGCGTTCGAATCCCGGTCGCGGCGGCCGAATTCCGACGACGAAAAAATGCGACAGGCCCGTGTGTTTAGGTGCGCATTGAAGAACACCAGGTGGTGCGAAATTTTCCCGAGCCCTCGACTATACGGCGGCACTCATAATCACATTCCGCTTTTGGGACATAACCCCCCCCCCTCCTCCTCCTTGACAATGATTGTAATGCATTTCGTTGAAAGCACGCGGCCTTGATTGACAGCTATAGGACCCGTATTTTCCTAATTTCTCGATTTTGCGAAATGAAAGGCAAAACTTTCAGGTTATTTAATTTACACTGACGTCGCAATTTTCGCGAAATGAGAGCTTACGTGTGACAGACATCCCCTATGCGACATCTAGACTACAAAAAAAAATGTTACGTTATCATCAACGAGGTTTCTTTCTATACAGCGGTCCTAGCGCGAAACGGGTGCTGCTTTTTTTCACTCGACACGCGTAATTAAGCTAGGCATGTATACGCAGAAGAGTGACGTATCGTGGCGCCTGCAGCTGCAGGAAGTCGCTGCAGACTTCACGGAGAAGGAATTTCTAAAAAAAAACTGTCGCGTCGACTAAACCGGCGCTGCAGACTGCGCTAACTTTCACAGCGGGGGATAGTAGCAAGTCCAGGAGTATACGTGACGGTGGAGCGGAAGGAGCGAGAGGGGAGCGATAGCCGGGGAAGAGACAGGGTCGTATGCAATCTAATCGCTTTCACACGCGGCGCAATTAAAAGGGAGAAGAACAAAATAAGAATACGGGCGCGGCTGCTAACCGTCTGGCTGCGTCATCAACGAGACTGCAGGCGCTGCCTCCCCTACTCCTTTACCCATCACTGATTCTTCCAACCGTCGCAACGCTGGAGAAATGAAAGCCGACGCGGCCGGAGCAGCTATCGCACGTGTACGCTCTTCTACGTGAACCCGAACGGCAAACTGCTGCGGGGATGGAGTTGAACCGTATCTTCCCTTCCCGCCCTCTCGCTCTTTCTCTTCAGCCGCTTCCGTCTCGTACGGGAGCAAACGCTAAAGATATACACGCTATAGGAGGAGGGAGTGTTGGGGCGGGGAAGCGGGAGCAGAGGCGGCAGCCAGACAGGTCGAGAGATGCTACAGCCGCCAAAGACGCGATATAGAAGTCTGCTCCGCTGATGAGCGCTCGGGGAAACGGTCCGCTGCATTTGCACATTCGCCGGAGCAGAAGACGCTACGGCCGACACAGGATCCCCCAATTATATATATACGCGCCACTTGTACATCTTGTCAAATAACTGTGGACAGTGCGTACCGACGACGACGTGGGCTGCGTGATAGATACGAAGTGACCTTCCTCTCGGAAGCGTAGCCAGAAATGTAATTTGGGAGGGATGGAGGAGGGTGTCGAACCCCCGAAACAACTCTCTGGCCACGCCGATGCTTCGTGTTATGCTTATTTTCAGGCTGTGAAGCTGCTTTCGTGCCTTCGAGCGTGAAACCGATCAAAGCCGTTATGAAGGAAAGGCACAGAGACGCCGACATTAGTTTACTGAAAAAGGGCTTGAGGTGGGTTGGAAAGTCAGAGGGGCAGGCGAATACCCCCCCCCCCCCCTTTTCTGTCCCCCATTCAACGCAGCCCCTGAAAAGGCGATGCAGCGATTGTTTCACGCCAGTGCGTCAAGCTGCGCCAAATATATTATTTGCACATTCTAGAACGGGTGGTGTAATAACAC